TGCAAATAGTAAAACACAGTCAAACTTGAAAATAAAACAGAGAAAGAGGTTGCTTACAACACATGCTACACATTTTCATTGCTGCCCTTCATAATTGAGAGCACTGTCTCCAGTGAGTCCCCTTTTCTTTATTTTTTGCTACATGTTAAAGAAATGAGGATAAAAGATTAATAACTGTTAAGTAACATTTTGAAAAGTATGTGATTCTTATAAATAAAATACAAAATAAGCACATTTCAAATATTTTAATGTATTAATAAATGAGGGGACTAGTAAGATGTTACAACTGGTTCAGAAGTGGACTTGGGAAGCACAGATACATAAATAATAAGGAATTCTGAAATGAATTTATAAATAGATGCAAAGCCAATAATCAATTGTGTTCTCTAAGACATAATTTGCATTTCTGTAGATAAGGATCCTTTGTATTGTTATCAATTTTTAACAGCTTGCAAAATTACAAAAATAGCTTAAAGACAGTAAAAGGACATATAGTTACAAAGAAACACTAGATAAGACACTCCCATTATTTTAAGGTCAGTGTCAAAGTCTTTCACAATTATTCCTGCTATATTTCACATAGAAGTCTAGGAAAGAGATACATACATGTGTATTTATATGTATATGCATACATACATCTCCTTTTTGTGTGGAAATAAGGCTGTTTGATCCTGCCTAACTCTTCTGGCTAAAAGCCATATTCGGATAGTTCAAACCGAAGACTTTTTGTTGAAGACTGGGCAACAGTGAGAACCCAAGAGTCAAATGAGTTATAGAGCATTATACCCCTTAATAGGTGAGAAAGAAGTGAGTCAGGTTGGCAATTTTAGGGAAGAATAAGTGTGTTTTAGGGGAGGCCAATGGACTCACAAAGACAATATACTCAGACAGTTTGTTTAGGTTTTGAGTATTTGGTTTCTTCTTTGGTTGATGAAATAACATGGTGGAAGCCAACTGTGTTTCCTTTTTCAATCTTGGTGTAAACAAAGGGTTTTCAAAGAAGTACCTCTTCCAGTTTCTGCTGATTCCCAAGTGACTGTACACTAAAACATCCTGCAGCCCGTGGCACCATATTTTAAGGTGTCTTCAATCTCAACTCAGAAGTGAACCATAATTTATTGTAATACTTTATTAGGAATTATCATATGTAAGTCAATTGTCTCCATGCTGGAGAAAAGGAAAAAACACTTTCTGAAAAAAAAGAACTGAATGGAATAAGTATGGAACATCTGTCAGAAAATATGACCTTTGTTGCATGTGACCCTGGGGATACCCCGGGTAGGGAGGAGGCACCATGTGACTCAGTAGGCTGGTACAGATGTGTTTCCTTGGCCAGGGGCTGTATCTCTTCACATTGTCATTACTTACTTGTCAATACTCATACGTAAACATCAAACTGTTAAAAGTTCAGGAGACATCAGAATTATAATTATACAAATCAGCTCTTATCTGTTCAGTGTCAGACCCTGCGCAATGCCTTTCTTTACCCTTTGAAAGGCTAAGACCCCTGTATAATTGTGCTTTTCTTGTAACTATGCACCTTTACAGAGTAGGTGGGAGTTCAAGTGATTCCCTTTCATTAAAGTGTCATTTTAATTTATGCCAAATAGGAGGCAGGGAAGGAGTAAAGGATTTGCTGCAGAAGGCATGGTTGAGCCAGATTTGGAATTCCGTGGTTTCACCTTGAGGAATGTGATCTCTTGTGTTGGTCTCGTTCTGTATCACTTCAGGGAGAGAGGACCAAAGTAGAAATGTAGACAGTGAAATGAAGAGTATAAAAGTAGACAGGGGATTAGCAACTGCAGAGATATTCCCTTTGGGAGTACCCCAGGGTGAAAGTGTGTATTAGTATATAACATTAAACTAGGTTTTAAGGGGGGAAAAGTATAGATCTTTTTGAAATATAATCACTACCCATACAAAGAGCACTTTTTTATTCCCCCAAGTCAGATTTTAGCCCTATTGGCAGGAAAGCTTGGCTATGATAAAAATCAGGGCTTAATATTTTTGGAGGAAATGTGACATGAATTTTATATTAAACTCATATGTGAAGGAAAAGAAGATGTATTAAGTCAAAAGTCATGGCATATGTGGCTTGCCAGAAAGTCCATTAAAGAATTTACCCAGAAAACTTTGATTTTTTTATTTCCTTCCAGGGTATGTTTTATTCACCACTGTATCTTCTTCATCAGGCATAGAACCGACAGCAGCATCACTATGCAATAAGCAGGGCTTCAGTTAGGTCTTGAGACCAGTGTTCCACCCAATACTCATTACATCATTTTGCAAATGAAGCAGATCGTTAATTGTTCTTGGCCTTAAGTTTGTCCTCTCTGAAGGAAAGCACACTAAGTGGGGAGTTTGTGTTAGTTTTTAGCACTGGGTTCCAAGCTGTGTAAGGCTATCCACCTACTTGTAGAAACCAAGCAAGCTTGGTAATAACCCAGGCATGTTCTTAGCCATCTTTTTGCTTTTTATGTTTATTTTAAGACAAGGTCTCACTAAATTCTCCAGACTGGCTTGAAACTCACTCTGTAGCTCAGGCTGACTTTGAACTTGTGATTCTTTTGCTCCTATCTGCCAAAAATAGCTGGGAATACGTGCTTTTGTGATTAAGCTTAGTGCCTAAAGATTTACTAAGGATCCTTACAATTTTAAAATTCTGATTCCAACCTCTCAAAAGGAAAAAAAATGTGTTCATATTGTGTGTGGTTTTGGTTGTGCTTTTGAAACTTTTGTTCATTAAGGTTTGACTGATTATTTTCTTGCAGCCCAGTTTAGTGCCAATAAGAACTCAGAGCATGACTGAAAACGAGAAGAGACACTGCTCAAGCCTCATGTAGGCCATGTCACTTGAAGTGGAAACTAAGAGGTGCATCTTAGATAGTGTTGGTTGGAATACACACACACACACACACACACACACACACACACACACACGTGGGTGTGTATGCTTCTAGAGGTTTGCTATTATTCATCCATAGAAAGTATTTCCTTCTTGAAGGTAGTGCAGTAGATAGTCTAGATAATATCAGAATTGTCTTTTGAGAGAAGACACGAGGGAAACAAAGTTCACAATTCTTCTCCTTAAGGACAAGTTTAATGTACAAAAAATTTACTGTAGGCTGGGATGACATGACTGTAATCTAAGGTTTCCCAATTTAGCATTCTGGGGACAATTTCTTTTTGGCATTTTGCTGGTTAAATGGTGTCCGTGATGCCTTTAATTTGACCTCGATCCAGAACTGCTTCGTGAGGAAGCCAACAATTCTTGTAGAAGGCAGTCAGATGTAACAATGTCTCCCTCAGTCACATTTCACAGAAGGTAGCAGATGTCATTAAGGGACTGTGGTAGGCTGAATAGATGGGATGAGATGAGGTAGACTGGATTCATGTTTGGGAAATGAGAGGTTTAACAAACTGGGTGGGGTGTTTGATTGATGGTCATCAAAGATCTCTGCATGTGTCAGTGTGGCATTTAGCACTCATCTTGGCAGGCATAGAAATTCTTTTACAGGTTGCTTCAATAGATTTGTTTTAGATCATTGTTTTTTCTTTTATCAACTAATTTGTGGAATGTATTTTGTCTTTTGGAAAATAATTTGAAAAATTCTGTTTATGATGGTTATACAGACAGAATGTCTTACTCATTAGAATTTTCAGTTTAGGTAAGACTGAGATATTTTTTTAAATTGATAAGGATAAGTACATAAATAAACATTCCATAGTTGAAGTGTAAAGTGTAAAGTGAAGCTCCATAGCTTCAGCATGACTATTTGACATCAATAGACATTCAGTGGGATATATAGACATTAGGGATGGTTAACTTCAGTGTTTTTTATTTGAAAAAATTATAATAGTTTCAAGTAGATATGATATCAAGTATGTATCATATGTGGCTATTTGGAATGATGTATTCTTTTGGATACAGATGTATTTTACATAATTAATTTAATTAGTCACCATAGGGTGTTTTTCTAATTCTGACCACTGATATGCTATAATTTTGTAAAAAGGAAATTTATCCTAAAATTTAAACAGCTGTATTAACACATCTGGAGTGATAGATTCTTAGAATTGCTTAACTTGACAACAAAGGATATTCTATGAGAAGTATTTTCTTAATTTAAGAACTAGTGAGATATGTCACATGACAAATATGATCACTTAATTTCTTAATTTTCCAAGTGTGGAATACAGTGAAATTATAAAAAAAAATGACTAGTGAGAAAAATGCAGAGGATGGTTATTTTTGAAGCAGTGGTGCTTCTACAAGTCTTAAATAAAATATCAACATATATTAACTTCAACTTCACATGTTTAATGATGTTTACAATTAATGCGATACACTATTCCCTAATTTGAGATTAACAGTCATAATTAACTTAGAATATATTCTTTGAAGTGGTTCAAAGGGATTTTTGTAATAAATTATTAGCCTCTAATCATCTAATACAAAGTGAGTAGTTTTGGGGGATGTGAGAACTATGTTAAAATCTCATAAAACATTTAATTTAAGTTAATGAAATTATTTTGTATGGTGCAGATTCTCTCTGTGGAAACAGAGCCATGTCTGACATTCCAGAGAAAGCTTTATTTAGACCAAGTTGAGAAATTTTTGAGATAACAGGCTTTAGGCCATGCTATCTTGAGTGTTATAGCTGTGTAGATTTCTAGAATCTTCCAGTCCTCTTTAAACCAATTTTTTTGATGAATTCAGTTAGTGAACTATAAAAAACATTTTTTTTGTCTTAAGCCATCTAAAGAATGTTGATTTTAAGTGTGTGAAGCTGAGCTTTGCCTCAGAAGATGCGAATCTTCACTGGTAAGGCCGGCTCTGATTCAGTGTCTACTGACACACAATTGAGATAAGGAGAGTGACATGAGCCAGGAATAAAGTCCTGCAAACGTGTGGCTTTCAGTGCCCCAGTGACTTCAGAGCACAAGGGTGTGGTGGTCCATGAAAAGACACAAGTTTTAAAGCATTAATATTTTGACAGGGTAAGAATGAAGGTGCCTGCATTTGAGGATGTAAAAGATGAAACTGAAGAGGAGAAAGTGGAGGAGGAAGAAAAGCAGGAGGACAAGGTGAGTGAGAAAGAATTTGCTTAAGAACAGCACTTAGTCCCTTAACAGACAAGGAGAAAACGGCCCCTTTCTCTCTCTCTTTATTTTCCACAGGTATTTCTTAAACCTGTTATTGAAGACCTAAGCATGGAACTGGCCAGAAAGTGCACTGATCTCATTAGTGATGTGAGTGGCTCTGAAGAATTTTGTCTTATTTGCTTTGTTCACATGGAATGGTCTTGGGGCTGGAGAGAAAACCCTGAGGTCACCTCTTAGAGCACAGTCATTTTTAGATCATAGAACAAGACATAAACATATTAGGTGATTTTTCCCAAGGTCGATTGGTAGGAGACTTCTGCTGGAGCAATTGTCCTTATTCCTAATCTAGGTCCTGTCTCATCTAAGTTGTACAGTCTCCCTGAATTGCATGGTGTTTGAGAACTCCCAAGACTTTAAAATTAGCAGAATTTATCTTTGCAGGAATTCTGTCTGAACAAATGATTTTCAGTATGGAAGATCTTCTGCTAAATGAATGGTGCTTAATTTTCTGAGGGTCTTATGAAGTTTCTGTCAAATGCAATTATTTTTCCAAATTGTAAAAATGCGTGTACCTTTACTTGCACCTAACATTTCTTTGCAATATATGGGTGTGTGTGTGTGTGTATTAACTGAAACTGTACATTAAAAACTCTGGTTTATATGATAATGTCGTTGAAAAGGAACATTTTTTTAAGAAACTGAAGCTAGTTTATATTGTATTCAAAGGATATCCAGAGTTATTTAATGTAAACCTGTATACATACATGATAAGTATATAAATAGAATTCTAGATGCATAAAGAAAAATATTTCTCACTAGAGATGAGAGCCCATCACATCCTCAAAAATAATATAAGAGAATTGCTGGCATAAAAAAGCATGGAGTTCTATGAAATGAAGTGTAGCTGTGGCTGCATTCTGGAGTGAGTGCAAAACTGGCTGCATCTGTTGTTTTTAATATGCAAAGTTTGATTCCTGGGCAGTAGGGTAGTTTATTGGCCAGTTCTCCCTGAGTCAACTCAACAATAACCTTGGAAGTGTTATTGACATTGGCGGGTTTAGCTCTTCAAGTGTAATGTTTATAATTCTAAGATGAAATGTACATTGAAAATGCTGCATCTATTCTTTACAACACTGTGATGGCTGCATAAATGCTAGCTACTCTAAACCACTCCATCTGTAATTTTTATATGTTTGATAAAAAGGTGATAGTCAATGGAAATATGCACACTTCTTCCCATATTCCTGAAATGATGTGATCTAGTTAAATTTTAAATCAACTTTTATTTGTGTTATTGCTTAGTAAAAACCGAAATTTACTTAATGCATGTGACAATTCTTTGTAAGCTGCAATAATAAGAAAGTGACAATGGCAGCAATGACCTTGACACCAGTGGCGGTTAAAACTCATTGAGCACTATGTGCCAGGTGCTGTAGCTTGTGATGTTGGATCTCCTATTTCCCCCCTTTTGAGAAGCAAGGAGATGGAAGCACACAGAGGTTAAAACAGGGAGGTGAACACAAAGCTCTTTCTCTTTGCTCTGTTGTTACTTTTCAGAGTGGATGTCCATGTAAAACTTATTACTCTCAGACTAACATTAGTAGCAGCAATGTCATCATTTAAAACCCAGCTCTGAATGCAGTGCCTCTTCTGCCTTTTATGTGTCTTTATTGGAGTGTAATTATTGCTAGGCTGTGGCTTTAATTAGGTAGGTGATTTATTGGAGTGTTTTGGGCAGGATTGCTTATTGGTGGCGGAAGAACCTTCCTGTAGGGAGACACAATGCCTTCTTACCACGTTGTGAATGCAAACTCCATGCCATTTCTCTCCCTGTTAGGTGAAATCAAACACATGGAAGAAATTTGTGTTTATTGTAGATTTATGTTTCATGGAAAAAATGTTTGTACTACTTAAATATTTGGAACATGATTATTGTCCCTTAATTTATATGTGCTTACATTTTATTTCATCAGAGAATTCTGTATATCCTAAGATACTCATTTAGTTTCTAGAATTTTACATGGATTAATAAAGATTCTGAAAAATTACACTAATTTCTAAAATATTAATTAAAGGAAGGGTTTACCCAATCATTTTAAAACCAAATGGTAGGGCTGAGGATATGGTTGAGCACGAGTGTGTCTCTCTTGTACCTAAAAGGTCTTCAACTGCAAAATAAATAGTAAATAAACAAGCAAACAAACAGATATATGATAAATTACATGTTTATGTTCCTAGACATTCTAGTTATGTATCACTAAATAAAAGTTAATCGATCTTATTCAGTGACATCAGTATTTTTATGGGGAGGAGATGACCTTATATTTTAAATTCCTTTTTCTTCAAATCAGTACAGTTTCTAAATTTGAAAATTTCATCTCCTCTATATAGTTGCCTAGCCAATTGGTTGTCTAAAGTGTATCAGCCATGGAGTTAAAATCATATATCTAATATATGATGTTTTATCATAGTGAGTTAGACTTGAATGTGTATTGTATGGTGTTTCTAATTATGCAGAACTACATTGGTGCCCCGCATTTAACTTAGGGCACTACTCTCCAGCCATCATGTTAAACTAAAATAGGAACCTTCAAATGATTTGGTGGGGTTTTACACTCCATCCTGTCCTGGAGGAGCATCAGGACATCCTTGCTGTTTTCTGTTTTTTGAAGGCAATTTTGTGGCAAGTTTCCTGAGATTGAAGCAAGATCAGTGTGACCCTCAAGCCTTGGCCATCCTGACAGCTTTCTTCCTTGCTGCACACATGCCAGGCACACCCCCCCCCAACACTTTTATATTGTATACCACAGCAAGCCTCTGGCAGGACACATGCGTCCTAACTCACAGGTGTGCAAACTGGAAGTTGAATGACTGTCCAAGACCACTTGCCTAGTACTGGTGGGGACAATGTTCAAGTGGACTGAAGAGTGCTAGCTGAGGCCAGAGCTTAGCAGTCACCTTGGAGTCAGCTTCGTTTCCCATGCAGGTGTGGGAGTAATGGGGTTCTTTGCATGGGTACTTTTATATGCTCTCCATTGGTCCAATTACTCTTCTTTCAGTCTCTTCTAGCCTCATATATCTCTGTAACAGTATCACAATCAGAACTACGCCCTGCAGTCTAGCCGTGGGTTGCCTGGGACTACGGGTGAGAAGGCATTTAGTTTTGTTCCTGGTGCTCCTCATGATGCTGTTTGGAGATTCACTGACTTGTGGACAGCAGAGTTGTTTTCATTCCTAATTTCAGACCTGTGCCTGATAGCCTGGACCTGTTGTCTTTTATAGCAGCTTGAATGATTGTAGGCTCATGAGGGACAGATTGGATAACCACTCCCTGCATTCCTTCCTCACCCTTTGAGTGTCTGAAGCTCATCTATGCTTGCCATTTCACTTTGACAGGTGGGGGGGAGGCTGTCATTGGAAGCCCTGGAGACAGTGCTATATCCAGATACCTCCCAGACAGTATGTAGAAATGTTAATTAAGACCGGTTTGGGGGTTAGTCCTGGGAGGCTGAACTGTGTGGTTTCTCTCCAGAGAGAAATGTCAGTTTTTCAGGTCAAGTGACTTCTTTTGGGAACCAGTATAAAACATTTCTTCTTTCCTGTTCCCATTGTTTCATTTTCTCCCAGCTTTTTTTCTTCTCTCTTTGTATCTCCCTCATCTAGTTTCTGTTTTGCATTTGAACTGCCCACATCATGGGATTTCCTCAGAACAACTCATATCCCAGTCTTGAGGGACATCTATCTAGCCTCCCAGGCAGCCTCTTAGTATTCCTTTTAAGTGTGTGACACTTGCTGTTTCCCTAACTAAACTCTCTGGTAGATGAAATTGAATGTCAAACACCCCATCAATTCCTCTTATCAATTAGACTTGTCCGTTAGACTGAGCATCCATAATTGTGGTCTAGCAACTTTCTAAAAGGTAGGCATGAAAAATACTGGGCAAAAAGGTATCTTTGATAGGTTTCATATAAGTGAGGCAGAATGAGCTTTGTGTAGAACAAATTAGGCTTCATCTGTGTGCAGCCTGATTCAATATTTTATTTTAAAGCTTACAGGGACAATTTTATTTTCAGGCAAATAAACTTGTTTGCTGTAGACAACTCCTTCCAATGATGAAAACATTCAAAGCCCAGACTGTATTAGAAAACCTGGAAGAGTGACCTTGGTCATGACCTGCTTATTCACAAGTTGTGATCAAATTATAGTCCTTTCCTTAAGACTTACATTCAATGGATGTAGTTTCATTTGCGCAAAGACTTTCTAGATAAGCATGCATGTAAGAAGAAATATTCACAAACATTTCCACATCTGTCATCCACTTTGAGCCATTAGCTAGCTAATCTTGTACTCATCGAAAGAACCATGGGCAGGAACAGGAAGCAACCTTGCACCAATTTCCCCTCTAATTTTAGTGGTAACATTGTGGGATTAGTGGGAAAAGTCAAGGGGAAAGTAAATGTTTAGGACCTCTTATTGACCATGAAACCACCAACTTTTCCCTACTATTTTTTAATTTGAAAATATGTTGGATTGCATGTTTTCTATGTGACAGGGGGTTGCAAGTTCCAGCAAGAGCTTAATTCAGGGGATTTTTCTCTCCACATACAAAGGAGGTTCTATCTCCATACAGCACCCATTTTTATTCTCCCTGGTTCCTTGTCTTCTGCCCCACCTTCTTCAGTGTCCTGGCTTATCTTCCCATGATGTCATTGCTGCTGCCCCTTGTGATTGGGGGAGAAAGATAGAAGCAAAGCACAGAATGTTAGAAGCTCTCCTGGGAACGTTGCACTGAGTCTCTTGTGTTAGAAGCTCTCCCGGGAACGTTGCACTGAGTCTCTTGTGTTAGAAGCTCTCCCGGGAACGTTGCACTGAGCCTCTTGTGTTAGAAGCTCTCCCGGGAACGTTGCACTGAGCCTCTTGTGTTAGAAGCTCTCCCGGGAACGTTGCACTGAGCCTCTTGTGTTAGAAGCTCTCCCGGGAACGTTGCACTGAGCCTCTTGTGTTAGAAGCTCTCCCAGGAACGTTGCACTGAGTCTCTTGTGTTAGAAGCTCTCCCGGGAACGTTGCACTGAGTCTCTTGTGTTAGAAGCTCTCCCGGGAACGTTGCACTGAGTCTCTTGTGTTAGAAGCTCTCCGGGAACGTTGCACTGAGTCTCTTGTGTTAGAAGCTCTCCGGGAACGTTGCACTGAGTCTCTTGTGTTAGAAGCTCTCCGGGAACGTTGCACTGAGTCTCTTGTGTTAGAAGCTCTCCGGGAACGTTGCACTGAGTCTCTTGTGTTAGAAGCTCTCCGGGAACGTTGCACTGAGTCTCTTGTGTTAGAAGCTCTCCCGGGAACGTTGCACTGAGTCTCTTGTGTTAGAAGCTCTCCCGGGAACGTTGCACTGAGTCTCTTGTGTTAGAAGCTCTCCTGGGAACGTTGCACTGAGTCTCTTGTGTTAGAAGCTCTCCTGGGAACGTTGCACTGAGTCTCTTGTGGGGACCTATTGCCTCTTTATCTCTACATCCTCCCTGGCTGATCAGGGGCCAAAGAAAATGGTACAGTTGTGCATGGGTTAGACCAATTTATCCTTTTGGATTGAGATTGAGTCCCAGTCAGATCTGTGTGTTAGGAGTGAAGGGTTTTGGTTGGGAATCTCACCAATAGATGGAGCCAGTCTTTGATTATAATATGTAGACAAGGTAATGAGTAGCCATCTATTTGGTGAGCTATGTTTGGATGAAACTTTGTATGGTTGATTGATATTGTTCTCATCCATTTATCATTTCCTATCACACCAACATAGGAGTACTACAAATATGTAAGTGAGTTAATTGTGTAAAAGCTTACAATTATTTACTTATTATGCATACTGTGGAATTCATTAGAAATTGCATACAAGCTCATTGGAAATTATGCACACAAACTCATTAGAAATCCAGAACCAGTCATGATATGTGTGTGTTTGTGTGTATGTCTCTGTGAGTATGTGTGTGTGGGCAATTTGTAACACATTTAATAAGATAAATAGCAATAGGCAAATTACTTTAAGTTTCAAAATGCAACTTAAATTTAAAGATGCAAATGCACCCAACTTTTTAATAAAGATCAAAGAAGGTCACGACCCTCACAATCAAGGCTGAACTATTTGCCTGCAGAACAAAGGAAGTAAATACTTCACCCTTATCCCCAGCTCTGTCCACAGCATTTAGTCCCTGTCAGGCGCTATCAGAAGGCCTCCAGCTATAAGCACATACCATTGTGGTGAAGAATGTGATCATGATGGGAAAGATGGTGGCAGAAGATAAAAATAATGAGCCAAACTTAAGCCTAATGATAGGCTATTTTTTTCCTCACACTTAATTATATAACAGGGATACTTTTTCCTCCTATGATCAAAATAGCCTGGTATTTATCATCCTGCCATTAACGATTTAATTACTAGTGACTGAGGAGAGAGATTTGCAGGAACCTTAAATTATGGCTAATCTTTGAGAAGAAAAAAATGTAATTTAGTGCTCAGATAAGATAAATATGTTCTCCTGTTGATTTCATGAATATAGCAAGTGTTTAATATGGTGGGCATTAATATCTAGGAGACACAGCAGTGAAATACAGAATTTTGAAGTTTATTACTGTATTTGTATCTGTTTACACCTCAGGTCAGGTTAGGCCCCTCAAATCAGATTTGCATATGGAAAAATCTCCATGGAATGTTAGTCCATTACATCAATATTAATCATGCCCTCTTAAGAGCTGGGTAGTGGGTGCAAGTAAACATCACATTTGAATTATAATTAGGAAGACCATATAATTTATCATGTGAATTAAGACATTTTTCCCAGTCTAAGTATTTATAGCCTTGTGTAGATAAACACGACTCTATTATAGAAAGATATATATTTCAGCAAATTACTTCCATTCTTGTGATTTCTCTGAAATCTGCCTTACCAAATTTTCAGATTGTCCAGTAGTTAGCATGGCGGGAAGACACTGTTGACCTTTCTTTATCCATATTTCCTGATACTTTTTGAGTCGTGTATCATGAGGAATCTACCCCCACCACCACCACAAGAGAATAATTCTGGCCTCTCCCCAAGAAGCAGCAAGTGATTTCATTTTACCAGTGAATTTCAGAAAACTGAACATGCTCAACTAAGCTGCCAGGTTTTCTCTGGTGAGTCTGCCCACACATAGCACAGTGGTACCCTGGAATGATTTCTACCACCTGGAAAGCATTCTGAGCAGTGCTGGATGGGAGGGAGACAATGGGTGCTGATAACCCCTTGGGGAAGTTGGATGTGAGGGACTTAGCTAGTAATAGGCCTGTTCTGGCCACAGTTTAAGCCCCCTCTCTGCTCCAGTCTGTAAAAGCAACGATGCTAAGAGTAACATCCATTTGTTTAGTTTCTGCCCCTACATCTCAGTATTCCCGTTTTCTGAGAACTTCTTGTTTCCTATCTTGAGGCAGGCAGCTGTTTCAAGCCAAAGACCATGTGGCTAATATGCTTAGGTTTAATCTGTGTGTGTGTATGTGTGTGTGTGTGTGTGTGTGTGAGAGAGAGAGAGAGAGAGAGACAGAGACAGAGACACAGAGAGAATGTCTGTGAATGATGTGTGTGTGTGTGTGTGTGTGATGCGCACATTTGTGTGAGCGATTATGGGCAGAGGACAACCTTGACTATAGGTCATTCCACCTTGGTTTTAGAAAGGGTCTCCCCTCAAAACACCCCCTGACACATGAGCTCCTTGGGGATTCTCTCCTCTTTGCCTTCCATCTGCTTGTAGGAGTGCTGGGATTACAGATGCTTGAGCCGCTTATATGGCTTCTACATAGGTCCCAGAGATTTGAGTTCTGGTCCCCATGCTTGCAGAACAAGGCCCTTCACCCACTAAGCCATTTCCCTAAGCCCCAGGATTGAACCTTAGTGATAACTTCTGCTTGCATATTGAAAGCACAGTTCCCCCTTGCCTGTGTAGTCCTGGACCAGATATCTTGATTTGGCTTTTTTTGAGAAGGATCTTGTATTGCCATCTATAATTCATCAAATAGACTTGAGTAGTTTAACTTTCTGTTAAGAAAAAGTCCACTACAGTTGTTTTTTCCCTTATGTTAATTATCTTTTTCAGATCCATTATAAGGAAGAGTATAAAAAATCCAAGGACAAGTGCACATTTGTGACTGATACTCCTATGCTAAACCATGTCAAAAATATTGGGGCTTTTATTTCTGAGGTAAGGTCTTAAAACCCACCAAATGGACCATGCTTTTCTTTCTTGAGTTTATATGGATAAAAATGTACATTGAAGTCGTAGAATAATTTTGAAAAAAACTCTGAATATTGGTCACATCTAAATTATTTCTAAGAACCAAGTTAATGTGTGTTAATTGATTTTTACTATATTTCACTGGTGTACGTGGTTATACTGTATTTTGACTGTAGTTATCCTTTATGTAGAATTGCTCTTGAAAATAAACATTCCCATTTATGTAGGAGAAAATTCTGGCAGCATAGTCAATTTTAGAAGTTTCAAATTATTCATTTCCTAATGGACATATTTTGGAGGTAGATAATTGGATATCATATTGGAAACAAGTAAAATTTGTCAACTAAATCCACCAAGCATGCCATCTTTGATAAATAATTTTAAATGAGCTCCTTGAGTAGGCTGAGACCCAGCTGGAAAGAGGTACTGACTAGGAAGGCAAAGCAAGGGAAACACTCTATTTCCAGTTGACAAGCCGCAGAGCCTCTACGCGAGCATTCAGCTCCACAGTCCACAGAGGGTCCTGGAGCACCGTGTCATAATCTCTATGTGGAGGATTTGCCTCAGTCTGTGAATTAACTTGAAAAAGAGAACGAATAAGGCAACATTGTAAATGACTGACCTCTAGTGTTTTGTAAGTTGTATTGGAAAGAGATAAATGCGATACGCTCAGGATTATCTAGTAATGTGGAACACTTTTGAGAAAGCCAGTCCATTTTCTGTTATTATTAGTAGCATCTTTAGCTGTGGGGACAAAAGGCCTATGAAGGATATGCTCCATCAATCAACACCCAAATCAGCTCTGAGTGGGGAGGGCTACAGAGGCCTCATCCACAGAGCATGAAGAAGAGTGATTTTCTTTTCCTCGTGTTAGCTACATTATTCATCCTGAATAGAGAAATTGGTGTTCTCAATTTGTGATTGATTAATTTTCCTGAAGGAGTTAACTGCAGAGCAAAAATGACAAGTGGTGACCTATTATATTCTCTAAAACCTAATATTCCCAAGAGGAAATGGTGACTGAGTGTTTGTCTTTTCAAGTAATGATAGAGCTTGTTCATAGCCAGTGCAGGCTGAAGACACACACACACACACACACACACACACACACACACACACACACAGAGAGAGAGAAACACACATAGACACACAGAGGCATACATATGCACTAACATACACACAAACACATACACACAGTTGCACAGAAATACATACATACACAGACACACACACACACACATACACACACACGCACACACACCCGGGATGAAGGAATGGAGTAAATTAACCTACACCTTCTACTGTGGCCAAAGGAAGCCACGAAGGTTTTTAATAAAGGAATACCCCTCATCTTCCTCTTATTATTTAATTATAAAAGTTTAGAGGATTTAATTTGACAATTCTATGCATTTATACAGTGTATTCTGATAAGAACTGGGTAGTTAGCATTTTTCCATCTCCTAAAAACAATTTTTCATTATCAGACAGATAAAAATCATGTATCCTTCTAGGATGAGTGTGGTGTTTCAGAAAACATATGATAGGCTCTGAGCAAATCAGGGGAACTAATGTTTCTTTGTCCTTGTCCTTATTTTGTATCTGCAGGCCTTGGCTACCCATCTTCATCTTTTTTCACAAAATAAATAGTAATTTGTTGAGAACCATGGCCATCCCAAAGTTCTGTAGAACACACGGACATATTTATTACACTTAATTGTCTGAGTTCCTGTTATCCAACCTCACAGTCCTGCAGCGTCTAGTCATCATGATTGCTTGCCTTTAGGTGCTAGACAGTAAATTCTAATGATTTGTATTTTGTGGCTAGAAAGGTCGTAGTGTTCTCAGACCATTTGTTCAGTGGCCAAACACATGAAACTCTCAATACACAGACTTCAGAAATGCACAGATCGAAACAGAAGCTGCCCCATGTCTTTCCATATCGCATTTAAAGCTCTCTCCAGAATCCACTGGATTTATTTCTGTCTTTCAGAATATGCCCATCAGATTTGTTGACATAAATTTAAATAGCCTGCAGGTTTTTAAACCAATCATATTTCTAAAGCAAGCTTTCTTTTATATTTCCAAAAACAAAACAAAAACAGCTGATATTTCTTTTCCCTTTTTTTCCCTCTTAGGCAAAATACAAAGGAACCATTAAGGCTGATCTTTCCAACTGTCTGTATAAACACATGCCTGCCACCATTGACAGTGTCTTTGCAAGAGAAGTGTCGCAGCTTCAGAGTGAGGTGTGACTCAAATTTGTAATCTTATGGAAGTTATTTGGCATTTTTACAAACATTGTTTTTCTTGGTTATCACAAAGATAACTTTAGTTTGGTTAAACTAAACAGATGTTGAAAGCAACTGGCCTATACCGCCAATTATCACAGATGAAGTGGCAGACAACGAAGGAGCCTTCAGGTATAAGTCTGTCGTTGGCCACCTCTTTGCTTCACCACCTCCCACTCGGTTCTCTTTAAAGAGCCGATTCCAATATCACCCAAACAGCTCTACAGATGCACTTCTGAGAGTTACTCCAAATAAGTCTTGTTTTAATGTCTGATTCCTAAACCAACAATATTTCAGTTGAGTTTAAAGTCAGGGAAACACGTGACAGTTGGTTTGGGGCATGCACAGGTATGTGCTCCCTGTGCTACACTAATGCTCCAACACTATCTTATTCTGTGGCATGTGCCTTCCTTTCAGGAGATCTACAGACACTACCTAGGTACTCCAACAGATGAAAGTCGCTATTTCCATGATTCTAAGTTGCAAAAAAAAAAAAAATGGAGAGGCTGTCATCATGAAAACTCATTTTGAGTCCAGTAGTATAAGGGGTGGGGTTTCCCATAGAGGAGATTGGCAGGTAAGGCATTCTGAGTGTCCTCCACTCCTGAATTTATTGCTACAGAATTTCAACCTAGGGTATCTTGATGTTTTCTGGCTCATTGTTTACTTCATGTCACAATCTGATGATGATGATGATGATGATGATGATGGTGATGGTGGTGGTGGTGGTGGTTTGTACTCCATTTTCTGTTATTTGTCTCTCTACACTTGGTGGAAGAGCCTTTTTGGACTCGTTTCCTGCCCTGTACATGGAGCAGTCCCCAGCACATATGGACTATACACTCAGTTGAACATGTTGGTTTCTTTCCTAAGGATATGCTCCCTTCTACATAGTCTGTGTTCTTCATGTGTAGTGCAGGTCTGTGACAGCACACATATGCTACCTGGGCCAGATGCTGTTCTATGTGCTTTTCACTTTCTTTCTTTTTATTTCATCTTCTTTTTTTGGTGGTACACATCTTTATATATATATATATATATATATATATATATATATATATAATTTTTAAATTTAAATTTAAACTAGAATCAGGGTTGCTTCACATGTCAATCCCAGGTCCCTTTTCCTTTCCCTCCCCTCCTTTTATGCCCTCCCACCAACCCCTCAATACCCCCTCCTTTCCTCAGGGAGTCTCTCATTTCATCCAGGGCAGGGCCTAGACCCTCCCCCAAGAGTCCAGGCTGAGAGTGCATCTCTCATTGTGGGATGGGTACCCAAAGTCCATATATATGCTAGGGATAAATACTGACCTACTACCCAAGGCCCCATAGATTGCCTAGGCCCCCTCACTGATACCCACATTCAGGGGGTCTGGTTCAGTCCCATGCTGGATTCCCAGCCATCAGTCTGGGATTCAAGAGCTACCCCTTGTTCATGTCAGCTGTTTCTGGGGGTTAAACACAAGGAGATCAAGGGGATACAAATTGGAAAGGAAGAGGTCAAATTTTCACTATTTGCAGATGATATGACAGTTTACATAAGTGATCAAAAAAACTCAACCAGGGAACTCCTACAGCTGATAAATGCTTTCTGCAAAGTGGCAGGATAAAAGATCAACTCAAGAAAATCACTAACCCTGCTATATACAGGCGATAAAAGGGCTGAAAAAGAAATCAGAGAAACATCACCCTTTACAATTGCCACAAACAACATAAAATACCTTGGAGTAATGTTAACCAAACAAGTGAAAGACCTGTATCAAAAGAACTTTGAGTCTTTAAAGAAAGAAATTAAAGAAGACATCAGAAAATGGAAAAATCTCCCATGCTCTTGGATAGGTAGGATCAACATAATAAAAATGGAAATCCTGCCAAAAGCAATCCACAGATTCAATTCAATCCCCATTAAAATACCAGCACAATTATTCACAGACCTTGAAAGAACAATAATCAATTTTGTATGGAAAAACAAAAGACCCAGGATAGCCAAGACAACCCTGCTCAACAAAGCAACATCTGGAGGTATCACCATCCCTGACTTCAAGCTCTAATATAGAACTGTAGTCCTGAAAACAACTTGGTATTGGCACAAAAATAGACAGGTAGACCAATGGAATTGAATACCCTGATATTAACCCATACATGTATGAACATCTGATCTTCAACAAACAAGTTAAAAATATACAATGGAAAAAAGAAAGCATCTTCAACAAATGGTGCTGGCATAACTGGATGCTGGCATGTAGAAGAATGTGGATAGATCCAAGTCTATCGCCATGCACAAAACTTAAGACCAAATGGATCAAAGACCTCAACATAAATCCAGCCACAATGAACATCTTAGAAGAGAAAGTGGGTGGTACCCTTGAATGAATTGGTACATGAGACAGCTTCCTGAACATAACACCAGTATCACAGACAGAGGTCAACAATTAATACATGGGACCTCCTGAAAAGGAGAAGCTTCTGTAAGGCAAAGGACACAGTCAACAAGACAAAAAGGCAGCCCACAGAATGGGAAAAGATATTCACTAACCCCACATCTGACAGAGTGCTGATCTCCAAAATTTACAAAGGACTCAAGAAGCAAGTCTCCAAAACACCGAAGGATCCAATTAAAAAGTGTGCTACAGAACTAAGTAGAGAATTCTCAATAGAGGAGTCTAAAATGGCTGAGAGGCACTTGAGAAAGTGCTCAACATCCCCAACATCCCTAGCCATCAGGGAAATGCAAATCATCTTACTCCTGTCAGAATGGCTAAAATAAAAAACACCAATGAAAGTTTATGCTGGAGAGGATGTGGAGAAAAAGGAACACTCCTCCACTGCTGGTAGGAGTGCCAACTCTTATAGCCACTTTGGAAATCAGTATGGAGATTCCTCAGAAAAATGGTAATCAATCTACCACAAGACCCAGCAACTCCACTCTTAGGCATATATCCAAAAGATGCCCATTCATACAACAAGGATGTCTGTTCCACTATGTTCATAGCAGCATTATTTGTAATAGCCAGAACTTGGAAGCAACCTAGATGCCCCTCAACCGAAGAGTGGATAGAGAAAATGTGGTACATTTACACAATGGAGTACTATTCAGCAGAAAAAAATAATGGAATCCTGAAATTTGCAGGCAAATGGATGGCACTAGAAGAAACCATCCTGAGTGAGGTAACCCAGTCACAAAAAGACAAACATGGTATATACTCTCTCATATATGGATTTTAGACATAGATCTGGGGAGTGCCAGTCTACAATCCCATGCCAGAGAGTCTGGGAAACAGAACCTTCAATCAATGACTGATGGAAGCAGAGGCAGACTCCCACAGCTAAACACTGAGCTGAACTCAAGGAACCCAGTGACAGAGAGGGAGGACTGATGAGCAAACGGGTTAAGACTGGATAGGTTTAACGTCCCAGAGACAGCTTTTCACTTTTCTATGTTTGATTCTCCTAACAACTCCACCAGGTATCCCCATTGTAGGGTTTTAGAAACAAGCACAGACAGGGTAAGTAACTTTCTCAGGTTACTCCACACATTCCATAGAAAACAGAGCTAGAACACACAGTTAACTAATCTGCCTCCAAGGTCTGAGTACTCAAGACACGCTGCACTTCACTTTTCCTGCAATGCCTACTTCTTGCTTTCTTATCAATCAATGTATTTATGTTTTAGAATATATTTTAAACACATAGTCTCAAATGTAGCCTAGGCTGGCCCCTCACTCACTATATAGCTTGGGTAGAACTTGAAGTTTATAATCCTCCCACTTCAGCTTCCCAAGTGCTAGGATTATGAAGCCATGTGCCACATGGCCTGTTTCAGCAAATCACTTTCTTCTTTAGTTATTTTAATTTTAAGTAGAGATTGCCTTGGATTTTAAATAATTCCCAAATGAATCACTCCGGAAAAATACTAAGCATAGAACTCATCTTGGAACATCTTTAAGTAATTCATTATTGTAAATTTAAGTATTCACTGTGTCCTCAGCTTGGCAGTGAGTCTATCTCAACTATGCAAGACAATTCTAAAAATATATGATGGTGAGATTCTGCATGACTGACTGTGATGAGTATGTCCTTTACTTGCCCTGCCAACATCTGGTCACTTAGCTATTTGTTGATGACATGGCTACTTAACAAAGCATATAATTACAACACAACACTTGATGTGGGACATGTAACAATTATGCAAGAAAGAAAAGGAATGCATTATTATGTTTGTGCTTGGTGAGGTGATAGTTTGGGATATGTGCTGGATGGTTTTATGTCAACTACAAACAAGCTTAAGTTACCTAGAGGAAAAAAATCTCAATTGAGAAAATGGTTCCATAAGATGGGTCTCTAAGCAAGACTATAGGACATTTTCTTTATTAGCAATTGGTGCAGGAAAACCCAGCTTTTTGTGGGTGGGACCATTCCTGGTCTGGTGATCCTGGGTTCTATTAGAAAGTAAGCTGAGTCAGCCCCAGAGAGCAAGCCAGTAAGCAGCACCCCTCCATTGCCTCTGCATCAGCTTCTGCCTCCAGGTTTCTGACCTGTTTGAGTTCCTGTCCTGACTTCCTTCAATGATGAACAGTGCTGGGGATGTATAAGACAGACAAACCCCTTCCTCCCCAAGTTGTTTTAGTCATGGTGTGTCAGTCATATCAGCAATAGAAACCCAAACTAAGACAGGATACTTGAATTCAGTTTTTTTTAAGTATAAGAATCTTCTCACCTTCTTAGAAAGCACATCAAACCTTGCAATGTAGTACTTAACATGAAAAATAATTCATAGAAGCTATTTTATAATTTGTCATGTTTTTGTTAGGATATTACCATGTACATTTCTACCATGTTGTCCTGTGATAGATACCATAAGGGGGCAAGTATGTAGCACAAGTTATGAATACTTCCCCTGTGAAGAATTTCTGACTTACTATAGGAGAAAACCGATTCTCCATAAGGTGTCTGTCTCAAAGGCTATTCTGAATTTACCTGGAAGTAAAAGCAAGAAAGCAGACATAGTATCTGCTAGTGTCTGTGTGTAGTTGTGAATAGAAAGTATCTCACTGATTACTTTTATGGCCCACTGTCTCCTAACTCTTTAACAAACTCTTGTCTGAAATCATGTTGCATCTACTCTTGAATACTTTACCCCAAGTTTGTCAGTTTGCCAGACTGCGCTATTAAGAAAACAAAATGCCTGCAGTATATTTGAGTTTGGAATCTGATATAAGGAGTTTAGGAGAAGGAGCACATTCAGCATGCCTTATATGTTGGCTGTATTTAAGTTTCCCCTGCATTTCTGAAGTCAAAATGAGTTGACACGATGACAGCATTTCTGCATATTTGCAACTCAGAATCACTAGACTAGCTATCCCCACCTGGTAACTAGCCTGAAAGTGAAACTTAGCTAGGGAGATAATTTCTTATAGAATGTGTTTGGTAGGAAGACATTCAAGAAAGATAGTCCTAGTGCTTATAGGAGACCATTTTATGAGTCATATAAAAATAAAGATCCTAAAGAAACCCAAGAATGGAATGACTATGCCATAAAGTGATGGGATTCTTGCCTGCATGGCTGTTTCCAGGCAAGGGCTGAATACTCCTGCATCACAGAAGTGATCTAGGTAACTCTGGTCATGGAACTGAGCAGATTTATGAGAGTCCATGTTTGTGTCAGCAGTGGCCATAGGCTTCTGTGTCTGCTGTTCATAGTTATCTGTTGTACGGAACTACAGTACACTTGCTTAAATGGTGCTTTAAAAGTAGACTGTAAGTCAAATATATACATACATCCTATGAGAGAGGGGGAAGGGAGAGAGAGAGAGAGAGAGAGAGAGAGAGAGAGAGAGAGAGAGAGAGAGAGAGAGAGAGAGAGAGAGAGAGAGAGAGAATCTATGTGTGATAGAAAAATATACCAGAAGTAATACTAAGTATTTATCTGTAATCCCAGAACTCAGGAGAGAAATAGGAGGATCAACATTCGAGGTCATCCTGGCAATACAGTGAGTTCTAGGTCAACCTGGGATACAAGAACCCTGATTCAAAGAAAATCTATTAAAGGATAAAATACATGAGACCCAAACAAACACATTACCATACACACATATTGTGTAGACTGTGAGACCATTGACGTGCACTCTGATTTGACTGTGAAGCTCACAGTGCTCTGAGTATTCTCAAAGTGTGAGGAAATAGTTTGAAGTTAGGGAAACATTACAAAATGACAGATCCTTTAAGAATTAAATTTATCAGAAAACGTATAAGCTTGGCATCGTTGACATCATTTCCATTAGCTATTTAAAGGAAGAAAATTGCTATGATAAATTAAAGTTCAGCTGCTTCCCACTTGATGCAAGCTCAGTTTTAAAGTACTGCTTAGTAGCAGCTATAAACAGAATGACAATTTTAAAGCTGAAAGTAGAAAATTATGAAGGCTCCTTAAGAAAGAGTGCTTTTTCAGATAGTTCTAGATGAGTCACTATTTCTACGATAACTCATAAAATGATCGGATGCATCAGTTATGTTTATGAAGTCACAAGTGTGGTATTCAGTCTAAAATATAGAATATGGAAGTTTTTCATGGTTTTGTTGATTTGGCCACTGGTTCAACTCTCCCTTTCTTCACAGGTATAATATAAAACATAAGTAAATGTGGTAAAGGACTGTCAACCTGTGTGGAGTTTTCTCGTTTAACCAATTGTTGAAAAATGTAAAGATGTTCATCATAGTTATGTACCTTCCTGAGTAAACTGAAGAACACACCATAGCAAGATGAATTATACCTGGAATGTATGAAATGTTGCATTTGAGTCTTGGTAATCAACCAGATGTACAGAATTGGATACAGGAACCTGACTGGATAGGACTGAATCAGTCTTAAGTATGTTAATTATCAGAAATTCCCACACAGCCAGCAGAAGGAAAATGACCTAGAGATGTGATAATATCATCTGGCAGTTGGAAACGATAAGCAGGATTTAATTACGTAATTCTCATGAGATTAAGCCAGATCATTCTAGGTACTTCAGGAAAGATTAATTGAGAATCGGATCTTGGGAGCACCTTGGAGTATGCAGAAGTTTAGCCCTTGAGTCCATGTGGACAGTATGGAGGCTTGGAGCTGGTAAAGGCTGTGTTCTTACATTGGAAGCTCTGTATTGTCAGTTACTTTCTCTCACTGCAGCTACACAGATACAGCTCTGGGGACACGTTGGGGGTTTGATTGAAAGAACAACTTTCAACAGAGCTCACAATATTTAGAACATGTGATATCCCAGGTTGAATTATATTTGGTAGTAACAGTTTTCAAGAACATCCAAATATGGAGCCAGGGAGGCTAATCAAATGTTGAGAGTGTATTAGGCAGCTTTTAAAAATGGTAAGAGTCCGTGGATGTTTACAAAAAATAGCCTTACTCTTACCACTCTAATTCTTTGGACTGCTGCATTAATAAAGTTAAGTGGGTAGCCAGTTCTGTTTATAAACTCCTATGAGAAGTGTAACTTTATGAAAATGCTGAATAAACTCATTTATTCATTCATTTACTGTTTATTGCATTTTTACTCTGTGTTATTCACTCTGATAAGCACAGGATATTAAAAGATGTGTAAGATATCAAAATAGCTTCCAAGGAACTCATATGGGTGACAAATTCTTCCTTAAGTTTCACTCTTTTCACTGAGAGGACACTCTGTTTTGTTCTTGTTGAATACTGTCTTAATATTTATTTTTGTTTGGTTTTATTGAAGTTAAGCAACTTCAAGTTCACTTAACATGCTTTCGTCATTAGACTCAGTGTATATTGAAATTGCTTTTTGCTTTTCTTTCTTCCAGTTATTATTTTCATTTATTCCTACATTTATTTATTCATTTGTTGATTTGTTGGTCATTGGTCATGAACTGGTAATGACTTGGTAATTCTTTGATGCTGTTTTTTTCCCCCCAGATGCTATTCAGAGAGTTGAACAGTTGTGTGTTTCACTAAGGGAAGGCAGGCAATGGGTGATTATTCAAAAAATAAATATTAAATAGGAATTGTGAAATAAATAAATAAGATGATGGTAGAAGCTGAGAGTAAGGGAAGATTTCCTGTATGACTTTCTTTTATTCCCAGCTATGTTGTCAAGTTTGGCTATGTCACTTCCAGAGGCATCTTTTCACATTCCGTATCCAGCCCAGTAAAGAGAAAACCTAGAATGCTAACAATGCACAGTATTTGAATGATGTATTCCTTATGGAGGACTAGGCTTGACCTATCTGAGAATTTTGCATGTATGTTAAACAGTCTGCCTAACTGGGAAACTTAATAATGATTATCAGATCATATGCCATATTATATAAGTCAATCATTTGTATCTATATAAAATCAGAACCTTTTATTTTAAAGAAATGCATGGCATAAAGCAATGCAAGGCACTGGAGAGATGACTCTGTGGGTAACAGTGCATATGAATTTTTAAATGGACTGGAGTTTAGTTCTCAACACCCACATCCACCTGTAACTAACTCCAGGAGTATTTGATGCCTTTGGCCTCCTTGGGCATCTATATCCACACATCTGTACTCGCACACAGACATACATATAGTTAAGAAATAATTAATTAATAAAATAATTCATCTTTAAAAGGAAACAATTCACTTTGACACATTCTTACTGCCCTCCACTTGGTGAATTGATCCCTCTAAATTTAACATTGCACATTTGTGACTCTGCAAGCTCTCCGTTGTTGAGGACTTCCCCAAACTGCTGCCAAGACATAAGGCAGATGAATAAAAAAATCGGGGTTTTTAATATTTTGTTCAAGGATATTTGAGATAAACTGTAACTTTTGAGTTATGAAGCTAAACTATAGCACTGAGTTGAGAGAATTATCTTGTTACAGACTCTCAGGCAAATTTAACTGTCAGCTAGAAAAACAGGGGAACTTAGAACAGGGTGTTTAACACACCTCTAAGTGGATCTAATCCTCGTGTGCATTTGAAGGTTGCCTACAAGCAGAAGTATGATGCTGAAAAAGGGCTCTCTGATTACTCCCACATGAAGGAACCGCCGGAGGTGAGACATGCCATGGAGGTCAACAAACGCCAGAGTAATGTAAGCAAGCTCATTTTCCACAATTTTCTGGGAAAAGAATGGATTTATAATTATTGTGTTGATATTAAAATATTATGGTACTCTAGTCACAGGGACTTTAACATTTTTATTTGAATTATTATGATGACTGTCATTAAAGCCTTTGTTGGATACTTTTACCTTGTGAGGCATTTCAGGCATGGTAAATTTTGCTTTGAACAAGACATACATGGATTCTGTGACCAGTTTGGTTATCAGCCTTTACTGGACTTCCTTTACATTATGTGGAAGTTCATTGACTCTACTCTGGAAAAAAACTGAGCTGCCATCATTGGCTCCAAAGGAATCATGAACTGTAGTTTTAGGGTTCCCTATGGCACTTTGTTTTGGAAGGCTTGTGGGGTTCAAATTATTGAATGTAAGATATGAGCAGACACAAACTAGGGAAACGGGTTCCTAACAGCTTAGGAGCAGGAGCCAAGAGGGAAGAAGGTAGTTAAAGCAGCACATTCCTTCCTTGGTTTGAACTTACTCAGTCCTTCAAGACTTCCATGCATTTTATCAATTACCACTGTCATTGCAGCCTAGAAACATAATTTCTCCTGAATTATAGCAGAATTGTGACTTTTCTGGGCTCCAAAAATGTGTGAACTGTTGATTAGGCTCTTGGTGGACTAGTACTGATATATCCTGATCTAGGTGGGACAAGAAGTCCCGGAACCCTTCCTAGAAGCATTCCTGATGCTTTTTCATCATCTCACATAGAATCTGCCCTATCATGTGGTACTCTTTGTTAGGTCTGTATAAAACCAGAAACTTTCATTTCAAAATAAACAGTATATTCTGATGACTGCCTTCCGGGCCTATAGTCTTTCAGAGTATCTGTGCTTTAATTGTCATTCTCATCACGGTGACCAAATGGTTGGCAGAAGCAACCTTTGGGAGGAAAGAGTTATTTGGTTCATGGCTTTTAGAGAACTTGTGGTCTGATGTTGGAAAGGAACTCGTGGATCTAGAGTGGCTGCATCCATGGTGGCAGGAATGTCAGACATACATATTTACATGATCTCAGACTAGAAAGAAGAGAGAGATCGAAACTGGATCCAGGCAAAGACATAACATTCAAAATCCCACCCAAATCCTTCTACTTCTGACGGTCAGGCACCATTTTCTAAAAGTTCCATAGCCCTCAAAGGCATGCCCCAGACTTGTTACTGAGCATCTAAAACAGAGTCTGTAAGAGACACTTCAGGCACAAACACTATAGCAGTTTCTTTGCATGGTGTGCATGGTTACTTGATAATAAATATTGCAGTAGATAAGTGTTTAAGTGAAAATCGGAGTGAGGCTTGACATTATGACTCAAACATAAGCTACTCACCAATGTCAAAGTGTTCCATGGATGCCGCAGTGGGAGCTGAAGAAGCTAAGAGTCTGCAATTGTCAGCAGGGCTGCTGTTTTAAGGGAAAGGTTTGCAAGTGTTGCTTGCTTATAGAGGGACTATAATATTCATAACTGCCACTTACACAGCTCAGCCACACACCAGGCGCTGTGCCAAGACTGGGCATTTCCAGTTCTTAAAAGAACTGTGTTGAGTTGCATTTTGTAGACAAATGAAATCAGACCAAAGGCATCCAACTCCCAATTCTACCTTTGCAGTTCCATCACTGCCTCCCTCTGAAAGGACGCTGATAATTAGTCAAGATTTTAAATGAGAGCCCAGAGGGTGTGAGTAGTGTAAGTTATTATCTAAATTCAGGTGCTCTGCAGGAAAAAATTCAGATTTTGGGGTTTTCCCTATTTGACACTGAAGAAACCTTGGTTATCAGGTGGCCTAGTGCACTGCAGTGGAGTCCCAGAAGCCCTGTCTGACTCTGTGGTTCACTGAAATTCAAATACTGAAGTTCCTTAGGATAAGACGCAGGCTTATTATTTTAACTCTGTCTTTTCCTTTAAAAGGTATGTGATTAAGGGGTGAGGGCGGGAGGACTAGAGTAGAAAGCCTCCTTCTCCTCCATTCAGTACTGTGTACTTACGGGAAAAGCATGTGTTTACTTACATTCCTCTGCCGACTTGGCTCAACCTTTACATGCGAAGTCTGTACATATAATAGGGTTTAGAAACTGTTTAAGACTATTTACTCAGATTTAAAGTGAAAATGATATTTGTATTCTACCTTGAGGTAACTGATATTCTCCCCGAGCCAAGTCTCACAGAATAATACACTTGCTGTCCTTACAATATGAAATCTAACACGGGACTTGGAAGCCACAAGGAGAGCCAGGACACACGCTTCCTGCTTCAGAATTATGAAACATAGAACATTATCTCCTAGGAAACTTCAGCCCAAAGAACTGTGACTCAGAATTTCCTAGTAGAATTACTTTTTTGCAATGGCAAATATTACTTTAGTCGGGCACAAATGGTATAATATCAAGTAAAAATTGGGCGCTAGGGAGATGGTATTGCTGGGGAAGTTTTGTTGTCAAGCTTGATGACCTGAGTTAGATCCTTGGGACCTTCACAGTAGAAGGGGGAAAAAATGACTCTGGTCTCCCCATGTATGCTATGGCATAGACACATGTGTGCACAGATGCATACCCACGCACAGAGAGAGAGAGAGAGAGAGAGAGAGAGACAGAGACAGAGACAGAGACAGAGACAGAGACAGACAGAGACAGACAGAGACAGAGAGAAAGTAATAAGATAAATATCTAACCAGTGGAAGTTGATTTGTTAGCTTTGTATGTATCCACACACATCAAGCCAGCTTTCTAAGATCCATCCACCAAGAGGCTAGGCAGCTGTGTTCTGGAGTCTTCAGAGCCGTTTCTTTTCTGTCCTCCCTCTTATTAGGATGCTTTTCAGGGGGCCGAAGAGTGATTTCCTTTTTCAGTTTTTCTACTTAAATATATATGAATAAACAAATGATTCTGCTGGGTCAACTAGATTCTCACCTTCAAGTAACTCAGAGCTCTAAGGTGAACAGTATTTGGGGTGGCGGAGGGTAGCGGTAAGCTCTTGCATGACTCAAAATTGTAGTTGAATGATCACAAAAGATGAAAAGCAGCCCCTCTCATGAGGATATCCACTAGAGCACATATTAGAAAAGGAATTTGGTATTAGATCATGATGAAACTGTTTGCTTTGCCAAATAGCGTGGTAGACCACGGACATGTTACTGGTCCAAAGAGCACGGCTTTCACATCTCTCAAATGGGGGCAGCAGTGGTAGTTACTTCCAAGGGTTAACTCAAGTTTGAAATGAGATGATATCTTGAAGAGCTCTGCGGAGGGTCTCCTTGCTTCATGAGATAGTAGGACTATCTGGCCTTCCTCCAGCTTTATGAGCCGATTTGAGAGTTTCAGCTGCTATGACAGTTAACTCAAACCAATAAAAAGAAGTTCAATCGTTTAAAGAGCCAAATCACTAGGAAATAAATATGAGGAGTGTATTAGGTCAGAAAGGCAAATGCAAAAAGGTCCCCAAACCTCTCTCTTGTTGATACTATCATCAAAAAATGATTCAAACCAGCCAATCTAAATCCTTTCATATTTTAAGGATGTATCCCTGGCACATTTTTCTAATACAATTAGAGAAACTGGAGGTATTTTTCTCCTGTGATTTTCCCCCAAAAGATGGGCTTGTAATGAAAACCTCAGTTCCATTATTATGTCTCATCAATCTTCCACAGATGGGAATAGGCCAGTCTTTCTGCATTAAGTCAAGAGAATCTCAGGTAGCTGTGCTTAGTTTTCTAGGTTGTGAGGCTCATGGTAGGACTGGAATAGTTTCTTAAGGTCGTGCATTAAAATGTGCTCAGTGGGAGAGACAAGAGACTTGATGATTTTTTTCCTCATGTGATTTGTGTACTGTGTTAATATTAACAACACCTTAGCAGTTAAGTTTCTGTCCTATCAGAAAGTAAAAAAGCTTGCAAATAATTCAGTAAAATGACACTAGGTAAACAATTATGACTTCTGAAGTTTCCCATGTGATTTGTGGTAACAGTGACTTAGGATTTAGCATTAAAATAGAAATATTAATGTTTGGTTCATCTTTCATAAAGAATCATTAGAATCACCCATTCTCTCTCCAGAAGGTTGTGGTGGTAAATGAGATCAAATTGTAATAAGAAAATGTTTATTGGCTATCTAATGACTTATAAAAAGTGATGACAATAGTGATAGATTGTTCTAGCTATAACTAGTTTATTCTACTTTTTAGAAAAATCACTTTTTTTTCTCTTTGCTGTATAGCATCAGGCCATACCTTTACTTATATTTAAAATATTTGTTTATATTTTCTCATGGAAAACAATGTTTAAGTGAGTAAAGAGGGTCTTTCTGGAGGCTGTGGTTTAGCTGATGGTACTGGTATGAGGTGCTGTATTTATTATGCAGTGCTTAAAAACAAGTCCCAGTCTATGGGACAGTTTGATGGAGTCTAGGAAGGTGCTCTTATAGCACCATTTCCTTTAGAGCAACTAAACTCTGACCTCCCTTAACTCTCTGTAGGCTGTACTATTCATTTCTCCTCCACCAACCTAAGAAGTCTTCTTTCTTGGCTAGTTTCACCTCACCGAGAACTATTTGGTTCTTTCCTGGAGAAGCAGAGTGACTGGTTCTGGTCCAGGTAGATTTGTTGCCATCAGGTCTGCCTGCTTGCACGGTGCTTGTCCTCTAAAGGCATCATCTGTCTGAGCCTCTCTCTGCTCTTCACGAACCATCCATGGAGGCTTTGCTTTTGTTCGGTTTATGAATTTCCCAACCAAGGAGTCTCACCTGACCATCGTATAATCCTGAAGAGCTTGCTGTGAATCCCCACATCTGTGTCTGCCTGTACTTGGAGAGCAAGCATCCATTTCCCTTCTACTTTCAAATTCCCATGAGCATTCCCTTTATCAGCTCATTCTAGCCCATAACTGAAAAAAGAGATGCTGGAGAATGGTTCTAGTCCTAGAAAGAAGTGTTGATAGAGTCCAGTTGAGTCTAGACAAACCTCAACAGGGACAGGGTGGGGATTTAAAGAGTGCACATAAACTATTTATCATAGTATGTGACACAGTGCGCATGCTGCATGAATGAAGGACATGGCCCCTATGCAGCAGAAACAGGAATGCTGAAAGCAGGGGTATAATACCTGGAGATAGGAGACAGCAGAAGTTGATAAAGGAATGAGGCAAGGGAAGAGATGAGCATGGTGAGACAGGAACAAAACCCAGAGCCAGGCTACTGATGGAATACAGCTCTTTACTGGAGGCCATAAAGCACAGATATGACTGCAGAAAACCATGAATGGATGCCTCCAGAGTTAGTGGCAGGAATCCATCGCAATGTACCTCAAGTAAAACTGGAGAGTTTATTGGTTTATATGCAGCCTTCCATTGGTATCGACAGGAGAGTGGGTTCAGGAGTTTTGTACATACAAAAAATTAATGGATGCTCAGGTATTTTATATAGAATAGACTATTACTTGCAATATGAACTTTGTATTTCTGCTGCCATATTTTAAGCCACATCTAGATTATTCACAATACTTAATTAAGTGTTTAAATGCTAGGTTAGTGGTGGTTTTATTACGTAGGGGATATTGATACAATCTTCTTTTACAAATATTCTTAATCTACAGCTGAGTCCAAGATGCAGTTTAGTTACAATTGAAGTTGGAGGCCCAACTATAAATAGAAAGCTTAAACTTCCTTCAGGCAAGTTGGACACAGACCCCATCATGCTCTCATAAGAAGCCCTCTCCTGCCCCGTAGCTTGGATCTGTTCAGTTCTATCCAGTGTTGGTTCCAACTGATGGTGTCTGTGAAGACTCAAGGAGTCAATGGCTATCTCTAACTTAAGCCATGTTTATAGCAGCTGACCCCAGAGGAAGGAAGGCTGGCCCTTTATGCCTCTTCTTCAGGTCCTGGGGGCGAGTCTAGTCCTGGTTAGACCCTAATCATGATATCTAAATGTGTATGCTGCTTGACTGGACATGGGAAGTTTTTTACTGCGTTAGTGAATATTACTAACCACCCTGAAAGGAGAGGAGGTACTTCCCAAAAGACAAATGCTAGGGAGCTGGGGCCATGAGACAGTCCATAAAGCACTTAGCTCCCAATGATGAGGACCAGAATTTGGACACCCAGAACCCATATACAAAGCCGGCACTAGGGCACACACTTATATTCATAGTAATGGCAAGATGCAAGGTGGAAACAGAGAGATCCCAGGTGCTCATAGGTAAGTAAGTCTGACCTGTGTGGTGAAGTTTCATGCATAAGAAGCACTGTCTAGAGAAAAAGATAGAAGATGCCTGAGGACTAGCACCTGAGGTTGTTATTTGACCTTAACATTCACTTACACACACACACACACACACACACACACACACACACACACACACACACACAAAGACAGGCAAAGATAAGTAATCCAACCAGGAGGTCATGCTGCCACCCCACACACCGTCAGTCATCCTAACAGAGGGTGTGATTGACGGCTTGCTACCCGAGTGTCCTGGATGGCAGCCTCCCTTTCCTGTGGCATTTCTCCATCAGTGGTGCCATGGAAGATGATGAACTGGTTCCTACACTTTTCTCCTGGGAGACTCCATGGTGTCCTCCTGTTCGAATGTGCAGCTCATGTCAATCTTAATATTTGTTTTGAGTCGCATATGCTGGCCTCTAATTTGCAAATTTACATGGATGATGGGGCCCTATTCAAAATCCTGCTCCTGCCGCCTTTGTACCGTTCACCTCTCTTCACGCAGTCATTAGGCGGAACAGCATATAATTAGGTAACCCTTGTAAAGCTGAGGTTTCTGAAAGGTTGTGGTTCTTTTCAGAAAGTGTGGGTTTCCGTCTTTCCCTCCCGATTCTTCTCTAGACAAAAAGCCACCCCCACCCCCCGGTGGCTTTCATGTGAACGTGATAACTTAGAAGCAGTTAGTCATGGTGGGTAATAATTTTGGTTTGTTTTTACCTGAGAACTGTTTTCTTTTTGTTTAAACAGCTTGTGTTTAACTCAGGATAGGCTGGAACTGAGTTGCTGTCATTTGCAGATGAGTACATTAGTTTTTGTAGCCAATGAAATTGCCCTGCTTTAAAGAGTTCCAAACACTTAAAATCCACCCCACATAATAACTCAGCATTCAGTGAATTTTTATGTTTCTTTTACTACTTGTGTGCATAAAACCTACCTAAAATAACTGGTTATAGAAAAGCTTATGAGAATTAAGGTGCCAGAGAAAACAGATGTTCATGATGAAATCATACTAATTGTGTTTAAGCTGTGTTCACCTGTCAGACAGGCTCATGATTGTAAATGTAGTTTTAAAAAATAGCCTTGGTGTTAAGGCAAATGCAAGCTCCTGAAAGATAAAGCAGATGCCTCACATTTCACTGAAATGAAGTCATACAGTGCATTGGAAACCCTTTGAAGTGGTAATGTCCGATCAAAAGCAGGAAATACAGCGATTGAGTTTTTAAACTCAGAAAGGTGGAAAGTAAATAAGAAGTAGGTCAATACTACCAATACTAGGTCAGAGTGACCAGTTAGGAATTTATTGGAATCAGATACTTAGGCCACACTTGCCAACATTCTGCTAGAGGATTGAAAGTGGACCCCAGAGCTGTAAATTTTAAATGAATAGCTCATATGTTGCCATTGTAGAAAGTTTGCTGGCAATATTTGCTGGAATGTATTGTGCCCTTTGTATAGGTGACCCAGTGGTTCATATGTCTGTATTATACTCCTTTGTGTTCTGAAAAATCAAAGATAGATTTTTAAAAATGAACATATACTTTGCGCTATAACTTTATCAGAATACATTCTAATAGACAAGTCAGCCTGCCTCTGGTAACACTGCCAAATAGAACTGTATCTAACTGCCAGGACTGTAGCTTGTGACACATTTCATGACATAGAGAAGCAGGTAGATGAGGAGATGTTGGTTGTCATGCACTGACATAGTTCTGATCTAGTCTTTCCACCCACCTGTCAGTCAAGGTAATGGAAACAAACCACACAACCTGAAGAAATTTACATTTGTTAGCATGCATCTGTTTTTCTCTTTACATTTCTACCTTTCACCCTGTGACTGATTCTGTGCCTAACACACACTCTGAGCAACAAGATTCCTTAATGTAATTGTTTTTATTTTGTAGAATTAGACCATAGGAATAATGTAATCTATTAGGAGATAAGTGTCTCAGAGGCACAAATACCCTAGGAATTCAGTTGGAAAGGAAGCAAAAGGTGTAGTCACTAGGGTAGAGGACACATCACCACCTGTCCTCCCCAGGAAAGTGACAGTGTGTATTTGTCAGGAATTGTCCTGCATTTCCTGGATGGATGGATCTGAGACTAATGGAATCGAGGATGGTATGTGTGTGTGTGTGTGTGTGTGTGTGTGTGTGTGTGTGTGTGTGTGGTGAGAGAGAGAGAGAGGAGACAGGAGAGAGAAGAGACAAGAGAGAGAGAGAGAGAGAGAGAGAGAGAGAGAGAGAGAGAGAGAGAGAGAGAGAGAGAGAGACTATAAGCATACACACTTAGGCACAAAACATTTTCATAGAATGCTATGTAGAAAAATCCTCCAGATTGGTTTACACCCTATTTTTGCTCTCCTATTTCATAGTATAAGTCTATTTTAGACACATTAATGAGACACAGAATAGTATAAAGAGTTAATATATCAGTGGGAATGAATGATCTGGGCAAAAGTCATGAAAAAGTAACTTAAGGTTAGTGTGTTCTTAAAGCTAACATGGCAAGGAGAAATAATTCTATAGAAGTGAAGGTAGCTAAATGAAATGGCTAACTTATTCTGTTTTCCACTCAAAACTGTCTCTTTAATCAGATTTCTTATAGAAAAGATGCGCAGGACACCCACACGTATACAGCGGAGCTTGACAGACCAGATATCAAGAAGGCAACTCAGATCTCCAAGATCATAAGCGATGTAATTTATCTTTCTGAATCTTGTACAGATGTGACTTCTTTTTTATTTTGGAGGGAGACAGAGCCCGGCATTGGTAGTTGGATGGCTAATTCAGTTAACACAATCAATTCATTTGAATTAATGACACCTCAATTTTGTCCTGAATTATCCATTTGATCATGTAAATTTGGGGAGTTTTGCATGAATTGCCCATGTTCAGCTAGACTGTATCGAGTATTAGAATATTTTTAGAGGAATGCACACTACTGGGTATATGATAACATTCATATGTCTCTGCTTGGAAGCCAGACTTGTCAGTCTTCTGATCCCGTGTAATCTCTCACCTTCCTCCCATCCAGGGAGCTCAGCTTGGCCTCTTCCCATCTGTTGCTGGTGACTTGCCGATTCTCTTCTACCAGCACTTACTTCTGACATTTCCTGCATGCCATGGCTGTGTGTTATCTCCTCTGGGATACTCTTCCAAGTTAATGCCATCTTACTTGAATGCACCAAACATCCTGGTTAAAGTTAACTCTTGGAATAGTCTAACCCATGCCCCTTAACACCGATAAAGAAGCTAACTCAACTGCTAGTACCTGTTTCCATGAACAAAACAATAAATGCTATCCAACTAAAGAAGGCAGAGTCTCAATTCTCCAGAAAAGCCCATAGTATTTTTTAGAAATAAGTATTAAGATGATGATGACTGGCTACTTAGATTAAAATTAGTAATTGTTTTACTGCTAAAAGTTGAATATACTCAAGTAGCTATAAAATAAATTCCTACATTAGCAGTCATTATTTTAGTATTTGGCATGAAGTATTTTTGGTGGGCTAAGGGACTACTTTATTTTATTTTGACTAATGTTAGTGCAATGTAAAGTAGGAATATTAAAATTCCTCATTATTCACTTTAGGCAGAATACAAGAAAGGGCAAGGCATAGTGGATAAAGAACCTTCTGTAATTGGAAGACCAGATTTTGAACACGCCGTGGAAGCCTCTAAACTTTCTAGTCAGGTAAGACTTGAGCATGAGGATCCTTCAATGGCTTTATTCAGAGGTTTTGTTTCAAGGAGCATGGAAAATATTTCAAATAGATAGTATCTTTCATTGTAAGAATAAACAGAGGTAATGTTTCTGAAGCTACTTCAGCTAGGATTGCAATTATTACAAGTTTCAGCAGAGGGAAAAAAGTTTAGTTCTCAGAACAAAGCCAAGGTTTCTTTTTTCTGGGCTTACATCCCAACCTGTTTCAATAAGTTTGGCCATGTTGTATTTGCAGATAATGAGAGCCAGTACCAAAAGTCATATTTTATGCATATACACACAAAATAGACACACATACAATTTTAACTTAGCAATAAAATATGTTCTCAATTTAAAAATATTTTCCTTAATTAGAAAACAATTCAGGCAAGAGGTAATACAGAAGACTTTGAAATCTGGTTTCAGAACCTAGGACTCAAAGAATCCATAAACTTGGAAAGAAAAAAAATTGGGAGTTTAACAGGTTAAAATTTCAATTTTCCCAGAATTATCATATAAATATCATTCAATTTAACTATAATCCAAAAGGAACATTAAGAATATGGCTGAAATAAGTTTAAAGTTTCTGTGGACAGGAGTTGCCTGAAAGAGCCTTTAGCAGTTTGAGAATGGAGATCAGTTAAGGAGAAATAATAGAAAACCATTTGAATAAATCAGAATGGGGCTAGTATATATTGAGAGGTTAGATAATCAATGAGATAGAATGATTATTCCCCACATAGATTCCAGTATATCTAAGGATTTAATATATGGCAAAAGTATTGACTCAGGTCAGTGTTGGTCCAGTTAATAAATTGCACTAAGGTCACTGGCCACCCATTGTGGTGAAAGAGAAGTGGGTCCTCATCTTTAACTCCAGATAAAAATGAATCCCAGGTAGATTAACAATGTGAATGCAAGCCAAGTGTGATGTTGCATTCTTATAAGCCCGGGACTCAAGAGGCTAAGGCAGAAAGTCTGACGTCAGCTTGCACCACAGAATGAGACCCCTCACCTCAAAGAAAAACAAAGCAGAGCCAAGCCAAAACGAACCAAGGCAAACGAACAAACTGAAAGATAGGAGTACAATAACTGAAATATTAGAAGAAAATCCAGGGATCATTATACAGCACACAAGACTTGAACTTTAACGAGACCAGCAGGCCAGACATTCTAATGGAATAATCAGAAACAATGATTGCACAAAGATTAAAATCTCTGCTGCCTGTGGTGACCCACACTTGTCATTTTAACACTCAAGAGACCAAGGCAGGAGGAGTGTTATTCAAAGACCAGCCTGGGTTACATCATAAGACCCTGTCTCAAAAACTTCAGGTAAATGAACAAGGAAGTTTATTCAGAGTCAACAATAATGTCAATAAACTTTCTTTTTTGAAAAAATTGTATTTATAGTTTTCAGTTTGGGGAAAAATCCTCTTATACTTCAAAATGGAGCACTATGACTAGATAAAGGTCTAAAATATGACTGAAGAATATGAAATAAATCCTAAGTCTCTATAGAAGCCCCTGAATGTCAGAAGATGCTATCAGATGGCCTGGGCCTGGAGGAATAGGTGGTTGTAATCTACCATGTGGGTTTGAGGAATCAAACCTGTGTCCTCTGAGGAGGAGCAACCAGTGCTCCCAACAGCCGATCTATCTCTCCAGAACCCTCATAAGTTCTTTAAGGCGGAAACAAAAACATCTAAGAGCTCAGCAGAAAGAGTGAGAAATGAGATGAACAGGATTCTACAGAGAAGAAACACAAATGGCCAATAACTATGTGGAAAGATGCTCAAATTTAGTAGGAGAAAAATAAACACTAACGGAAGACTTGAAGTGAAATGTCATTTGTGCCCATAAGCATTCTGTCTTTTGCTAGTGTGGGGGAGAAGGACATGCCGTTAGAAAGGTTTTGTGGAGGTGGTAGTTTTGAGCTAGGCTCAATGGGAGAGAAATCTGCTCAAATAAAGGACGATGGAAGGTTACTGAGGACAGCAGCAGGATCCTGAATTAAGGGGGATCTGTTATAATCATAAACAGGAATTTAGGAGGACTTTAATGAGAAAAGGGTCAGTATCATGTTAATTTTGACTATATGGCATTGCTTATGGAGCAGAATAGGAATAATGTGTTTCTTTTATATAATATATTAGCGTGATATTATGTTTCATGTATCAATATACTTTCTCAACTTGACACAAATCTAGACATACCTGGCAAGAGGAAATCTCTACTGAGGAATTGCCTCCATCAGATTAGCCTGTGAGCATGTCACTGGGGGTGTTTTCCTGATTGCTACTTGGTAGGAGGGCCCAGTCTTCTGTGGGTAACATTATCCCTGGGTAGGTGGGTCTGTGTTGTATAGGAGAGGCAATGAAGCAAGCTGATCAGCATCATTTCTTCCTCCTACATCATCTCTGTTGCAGTTCATGCCCTGAATTCCCTCAGCGATGATCTGTTACCTGACGGCTGTAAGATGAAATAAACCTTTTTGTCCCCAAGTTACTTTTGATCTTGGTGTTTTTCCCAAAATCCATTCAATTTACTATCTTGATCATTTGAAGCCTAATGGTATTAAATGAATTCATAATATGCTGCTGTTACCACCATCCATCCAAGTCCTCATCCTGTAAAACTGAACTCTATAGCTGTTGAATAATGACTCCCAACCCAACTGTTAATAGATATGCTGTTATCAGCAGAGTAGTAAAAAGAGAAGGTGATTCCCACATGTAATGCAAGGGTGTGTGTGTGTGTGTGTGTGTGTGTGTGTGTGTGTGTATGCACGCACACGTGTCTTTTGAGTTAGATTATAAAAGAACAAATTATCGCAATCTCAACTGCAGTCACTCGGTTAGGTTCCACTTTCAGGTGAGAAAATAGTAATCACAGAAAATTTTGATGGGACAGCTTATGTAGACATTACTTCAGGTGAATTAAGATGTCAACACTCTACAGGAAAGGTTGGCCTCTGTAAGAGATGAAATTTCCATGGGCCAGCTGGGAATAGTTGCAAGAATCACATAGAAATGGTCTACCCCTCAGAAGTCTTCATGGCTGTGGTGGAGGAGGGAGGTGAAGAAAAGGAATGTGTGTGAGATGCAGGAATGTAATTGTGCCTTGTGTTAATTGTTTTACAGTTTGCCAGACCTTTGCTATAAAACAACTTTGAGGCTTAGAAGGCTTCTAACACATAGGAGGTTGAGGATATTCTTGGACAACACTCTTTTGAAAGGCCTAAGATAGATATGGAGACTCTGAGCATCCCTACTAATGCTTGTCATGAAGGCAGGAGAGCTTGAACTTGCTTTGAGTTTCTGTGTGTATGTGTGTGGGTGCCATAGACTTCATGTAGAGGTTAAAGGAGGTAACTTCCATGCTGTGGGTCCCACAGATCAAACTCAGGCCATTATAGCTTGGAAGCCAGCACCCTCCTGAGCCATTTGGCCAGTCCCCTCCCTGACTTCTTATACCTCTCTTCATTGCTGTGGATGGACATTTCCCATTTGCCATACAGTAGATTGTATGGAAGCAGTCTGATCCCTTTCAGTGAGTAGGAGACTTAGCAGTGGAGCAAGACCTCCTGGTCTATGCTATTGTTCTGTTGTTTGCTTGCTGAGTGACCTGGGACTTGTTGCTTTGGTTCTCTGTTTCCCATAAAAGTGAGCTGATGACAGCAGGTGTAGCTTCTTAGAGTTGTGAGTGCACTGTTTATATGGACACCTGGCCCACAGATTGCATAACCCCAAAAGACTCTTTTTTTTTTTTTTAAATAGACATTTGGAGTGCTTTCTTGTCTCCCTTTCTTTGAGATTAACTGACAGGTCAGAGCGAGAGCAGTTGCACTCGCTCAGGCTGAGGTCTTAATTTCACTCCATTCAGTCCTCCCTGTGAGTCTGTAAAGAAAACTTCAACCTGAGTGTTTATTTTCACATTTCAGATTCAGCTCACAAGTTTTCTGTACCCATCAGCTTTGCTTGTCCTTTGGTCTTAGTCTGTCTTTTCCTGAAAGGGAAAAGATGGGCAGAAGAGTGTACAGGAGTCCTACAATGGCTTCTGTAATGTGTGTACTCAGATGCATCAACCTGAAACCAGGGCCAAAAATGCAGTCTCTTATTTTCACCAGTAGCGTTGAGGGTCCTGCATTTACAGACTCCTGAGCCATTGGCAAAGGGAAAACGTGCATTGGCAGGAAGGGCTTGGGAATTCAGTAAGCAGGGAAAAGAGGTGAAGTGGGCGTGTGAGAGGAGGCGAAGACAGGACAGCGGGCTGCGTTTGGTGAGAAGGCATGCCTGGCGAGGAGATGACAACAGACTATGAGTGGGAGAGATGCTCACATTTCGCCTGTACGCTGAGATCCATGGGATTTTCCTCTGTCCAGGCAGCAAAAATATGTACTAAACTATTACAGTAATCTGAACAATTGCTGCAGTCCCACTGTTGTAAGCTTTTAAAATATATTCACTTACTATTTTTAACTGTGTTTACTTGTTCATACCTGTGTTTGTGCATGTGCATGCATGCATGTGAGTGTGGATGCCAGAGGAGGCCACAAGTGTCTAATGCCCCAGGAGCTGGAGTTTTAGGTGGCTGTAAGGTACCTTATATGGTTGCTGGGGGGTCAAACTCTGGTCCTTGGCAAGAGCAGTACTCACTCTTTTTTTTTTTTTTTTTTGGTTTTACGAGACAGGGTTTCTCTGTATTGTTTTGGAGGCTGTCGGTCCAACCTGGCCTCGAACTCACAGAGATCCGCCTGCCTCTGCCTCCCGAGTGCTGGGATTAAAGGCGTGTGCCACCACCGCCTGGCGAGTACTCTTAAATTAAGTCATCTCGCCAGCTACAACTTTCTCTTTTAAAATCAGGAAGATGCATATTATTAAGGTGTAGTTGTTTAAAATTTTTAGTAAAATAAAATTTCATGGGCCAAGTCAAAAATACTAGTTTATGTGCATCCCAAATATAAATGGGTTATTAAAATCATCAGGTTAAAAAGTTTTAAGTAAGGTTAATTTGATACTATATCCTTATGTCATCTGAACTTAATATTTGGAATTTGTTTGTAAGGTGAAAATTAAATTCTTGATTTCATTTTATAACACCAGAGAAACAATATACATATAATATTTAGTATTGTTATAACATTTTATTTTTGTATCGATAAGAGTGAGTTTAAAACTTAAAAGATGGAAAATTTAGTAATAAATAGTGTCCTTAAACTGTTGCGGGTATTAATTGGCTTGGAGATGCTCCCATCCTGCCTTCCTGGCAAACACACACTATGCCAATCTCCTCATGCTGCCAAGCAAGAGCTTAAATGTCATATCACAAGTTGCCAATGCGAATGGATCTCTGTTCATTTCTGTTAAGTTCTTGATGTAGTTTGTATTTGTCCTGTATGTATATATGTCTGTGTTTCAAAAATTAACTTGAGTGATTTATCCTATGGCAAGTTCCATAGCTTAGGACTTTTAGGTTATGCAATAAAATAGATAAGGGCGTTAATAAGTATGTGGATGTATGTTTAAGGATTTGGATTCTTAACACTTGATGAAAAGGTGAGATTATATTATTTTGTAAAGAAAATAAAGGCACATATGTCTCTGAGTTTAGTCCCAAGGCCTCCCCCCTTAAAAAAGAAAGTGTAAGAAGGGAGGAAGGGAGGGAGGAGGGAGGGAAGAAGGGAGGAAGGAAAGACCAAAAGAAAAAGGAGAGCTCAAGTAGCATTCTGTGTAAAATTCAGGCTTAAAATCTGATTGTTTCTGTGATGAGTTCTATTTTAAGTTCTTTACTGTTTCCCTTGTTCACTTGCAGTTCAGTTTTAGCAAAGACTGGAAAGAATGGATGGATACCTTTAGGCACATGGGGTGTTGTTTTCTATGATAAATAAGGTCCACTCCTCAAATTGTCCATTTTTTCCCTAACATTTTTTATGGCTATGCTGATGGCATGTTTTTCTATCCTTGCGGACTCTAAGAGAGCCAGGCACCTGCAAGGTGAAAACTCATGTGCTTAGAAGTCTCACTTCCTGGTGGCATGCTATGTCTGGAGGCACTTAGAGAGTCAGTGCAAATTCTGTCATCATAACTGAGCAGTCACAGTGGGGGCTTCCTAAAGTCTCATTATAGTCAATATTCTTTAGAAAATAATTAGGAGTTTGATTTTATATAATCAACCATTCTATATATTTATTGTGATGAATATCTGAGCCACTATGTGTGACACTCATAATGTAAATAAAGTAACTTCGTTACTTAGTTACAGAACTTCATTTATTTCTACAACGATGTATCTGGGTAGACGGAGTAGCATTTTATCTTAAAATCAACACTTGTCTGTCCCTTTCTGCAATGATCGTGTAACTGGCAGGTGTATGCTTCGTTCCATGCTTGGGTAAGCAGTGACAGTCAAGGCATTGCAGGGACCTCTTGGGAGATGTGAGTGTGAATAGGGAAATAGACGGTCAGCTTGTGAACTGTGGATTGGAAATGGAACAGAATGTTGAACATGTCTGTTCAGTTAGTGAGGGAGACAGTTGGAAGGTGAAAGATTTGACCTACATAAGGCATTTGCTTCTCTTTGTTCATGTATGTGCAAATCATGGAGAAGCTGTGAGGCAGGATTCAGTTGTATGTCAGTGTTTGATTAGTGGATCAGTGTATTTTTAAATAGTGCAGTCATTTTGTGTTAGTTGATTAATGGTAGAAACTCTTACGTTTTGTTTCATGCACATCACTTAGACAACCAAGGTTTAGATGGAAACATGTTTATAGCAATTTGCTTATTATTATATTTAATATAATTGTCAGGAGGACCAGGGTGAGAGATTGGTAATTATTTCTCAGAAATATGTATTTGCTTGGAAGAGGAAATGCTAGGTTTAGGAACAGATAAGCTACTATTTTTATTTCTTATACCAACTTACACATCATCTTTGCATTTGGTCCAAACCTGTGGCCAACCCCTAGGCATACAAAAACAGTAGGGAATGTGCTGTGGGGTTATTAATTGTCGCCTTGACAGAGTCTAGGATACCTGAGAGATGGGCCTGTGGGCATGCCTGTTGGGGATTTTCTTCATTATGTTAATTGATATTGGGGAGACCCCTCAATTGTGGGTCAAAATTGTGGCTGGGACTGACCTATGAGCAGAGGGGTCTGGCACTGTATAAAACAGAGAAAGAAGCTAAGGGGCGAGCATACGTTCCTCCCTCGCTCTCGGCTGCTGTCCTGTGGATGATTCATGAGCAACTGTCTCTAGCAGCTGCCTCTGCGGCCTCCTTGCAGTGATGGACTGTAACTTGGAACTATGCGCGAGAATAAATCCTTTCTCCCCCAAGTTGCCTTGGTTGTTGGTGTATTTCATCACAGTACCAAAGGAGACTTAGGCAGGCTCTCTGGGGCAGAAGTCAGAGAGGACCTACTTTCTCACTTACATAACCGAGACACACGGGTTGGTTGAGGTTAGCAAATGGGGAAAATTGATTGGAAACTTGGTGCCAGTCAGCATGGCACAGTCCATCAGTTGGTTAGAGCTGCACAGCCACTGCCCGAGAGCAATCCCTGCAAAGCAACTGAGCAGAAGAAAGTGTGGCTCAGAAGGGGAGTGCAACCATGAACGTGGCCAAGTTGGATCTCTGAGTGAATGCCAGTTAAAGTCATGTTGGAAATCTAACCATTTTCTACTCGTGCTTCTGTCTCTGATTTCAAGATGTAAATAATAATAATAATAATAATAATAATAATAATAATAATAATAATAAAATCTTCTTTTTCCATTTTGGAAATGCTGTACCAATTTATTTAAAATAAATGTGTCAGACAGCATGAGTATCAGAAAAATTTTGTTTAAATAGAGCACACAGAAGATACTTCTTCAGTACTGTACTTCCACCAAAGCTTCACAGGCTCCTCTCATAGGCAGGCATCCCTGAAGAAGACCACTACCCCAAACAAGTCAGGAAAACAGTCATTTTCCAATTCTGTTTAAGAAAGACTACTACAAGACAGAGCCTTTAAGGCGTGTGGATAAATGTGCTTTATGAGTACAAGAAAACAAAAAAATTAAAAAATTTAAAACACTGTAAAATTATAGAAACATTATGAAAGCCCAAAATAGTTTTTTTTAAGTTTTGAAATATGTACATTGGTCAAGCAGCATTCATCAAGGGCATGTGAGATGTGAGCAGCTAAGGCATCCTTTATCTATTCATGGAGAGAACCTGTCCCCACATTCCTGTGTATAATATGCATCCACATCGTTATTTATCCATGAAGGAACAACTCTGAGGTGATAGCCCTTGTTGTCTTATGACTAAAGAAATAAAAATTTTAGAATGAATATTAAACATACTTTTTTCTGTTGGAGGAGTTAAAGGAGTTGAAGCAGAAGAAAAGCTACGACTGTCAGGAAGCATGTATAGAACGTGGTAGAAAAATCTATTTTATAAAACTTAGGCTTTGACAATTGAAATATGGATGTTGCAGGGAATATAGTTTTTAAAATGAGTCTTTGAACAAAGAAACACGGATACTAACTGTATTCTTTATTTGGAATAATTCCCCAAGGAGAACCCATTCAGTTTCTGGTTCCAATGACCCATTTTCTAAGTGTGGCAGACGGAAATGTGCACTCTCAGTTCCAGTTAATCCTGGGTTCCAGGAGTATAGAAAATGAGAAGCAACATGTAAGAAATTATATTTTAGATGCATAATTCTCACGAGCAGAGAATTTGATGCTAGTTCATGCCTAATGACATTCATGACCAATATTCAAGTAGCACATTAAATTTTTCTAAATGCCTCATTAAGCTTTATGGAGGGGGAATGAATATCAGGAATTTAAATTTTGTAACTATTCTCTTGAAAGGTAGTTTTTATTTGATCTCTTTAAAAAAACCTACTGTATTACTTTTCCACCAAAATATATGACTTAATTCATTCTGTCCTTTTTGTTTATGATAGGTTAAATATAAAGAAAAATTTGATAATGAAATGAAGGAAAAAAGCCACTGTTACAACCCTCTGGAAAGTGCTTCTTTTAGGCAACAGCAGCTCGCTACTGTCCTGGCAAGTGATGTAAGTTGTAATCTACAGAAATTGCTCTCAGTATCTGTTGAGTCTTGTTTTCCTAGAACTAACTGTGTTGTAATTACTGATATTTAATCAAGATCATGTAATTTCCAAGCAATTTGTAGTTGAAAACACTGAAGCATATTTTCCTGAAGCTTTTTCCCCCAGAAAAGTATATTATTATAATTTGCTATTAATGGTTACTGATTACTAATTAGTTAATAAGTAGGAACAGTGGTACGGATAAAATTATTATGTCTGATCAAGAGTAGAAATAGATTATAGAGTTTTGCAGGAAAGAGATGTGTGTTACAAATTAGTAGGTAGGACAACAATTAAGTCATAATTATAGCCACAAAATTGGGTTCATTATAAAATACTACCTGATACATGGAGGTTTATCCAAAAGAAATTGTCATGAATTGTGCTGCTAAAGGTTTAAAGTTTCATTCAGTTTTATTATGTAAAGTGCTTTCTTGGTAGATTTATTTTCGTGTTCTTAAAATTAAGAAGGATTTATTTGATAAGAAATGATAATTGAAATTTTTACTAGAAGACAATATTGCATAAAAGCAGAAACAGTAACAAACAGATCACTTTGCTATCTGTCAAAATGTGTGCAGACCCTTTCCACTCATGAAAACTGAATGTCATGGAAACTTGCTCTGCTGAGTCAGCAGCTGGGTTCCACTCTTTTTTACTTTTCTTTCATTAACCTTTACAAAGTATTTATGGTTGATAACCAGTCTTGGTTTGTCTCTGAAGTCCCAGTGGGTATTTTTGTCTTTCAGAACCTCCAGGGATGTCAGTCTTTCTTTTCCAGACTGATAAAATTTGAATGAGTGCAGAGACATAAATGGGGTAGAGATGAGTTAATCGTAAAGGAAACTAGAGCAGAGCCTCGAATGCTCCAGACTGAGGGTCAGATTGCCTGGATGTAATCGTATCTAGCCACTTAGAATCCTATTATGCCTTCAATCTTTCTGAGCCTCAGTTTCCTAATCTGTCAAATGGGAATAAAATACTCAACAATTAGGGTGTTTATTAAAGATTGCTTCACATATATAAAGTATTTTTAAAAGAGTTGGACATACAGTTCATGTTTAATATGCTTGATACTAATATTTGATTCTTATTACTAGTATTCGTTCCCAAAGCAGTTGGTTTAAAACGAAGAAAATAGACTTACGTGACTACAGAATGCAAAGCTGCAAAAGCTTAAAATTACAGTAAGGTAAAACTGAAATAATTCTGTAGCAGCATGGAAAGAATACAGCAATGAGTCTCCTTATTTTCTAAAAGTAGAGTTTCTACTATAATTACATAGGTGTGTTAACACCGCCGTTTTGGAATACAAAAACAGTAAAAGAAATTTAAATGTTTTCAAGTCCATAAATAGTCATTTTACTCATTCTGTAGTGAATCAGCACCATCTAGTGGCTACTTGTAAATCCTCCTGTCACTTCTAGAAAAAATAAAAGGCAACAATGCCAACACAAGCCTGTTTTCTTCTGCTAGATGGTATTTTGTTCCTTGTTATTTTTGTAGGTAAAGTACAAGAAAGACGTTCAGACCATGCACAAGCCAGTTTCAGATCTCCCAAATTTGTTGTTTTTAGACCATGCTCTGAAAGCCAGCAAAATGCTCAGTGGAGTAAGTGGGCTGTCTGGTGGCCATTGTAGTGTAGATGTGTGCGGTTCTTGAATGCCAGAGTTCCTGTTTGCTCCCTGGGCTTATCTGCTTTGTTAGATGTGCCTGGTGCCTCTCCTCTCCAACAACTAACTTGCTGAAAAGTAGTCACCTGCTTGTGCAAATCCCCCGGTTATTGTCTCTTTAAAAGAGTTCTTTTGTCTTTTCACCCAATGACAGCTTCATACACATATGAAGTGCATTTTAGTTCTTCCCCTCCATATTGCCCTGTCTTGTCCCCTGTCCATTTCAGTTCAGCCCCTTCTTCTGACATGTACCTTTCCTACTGTCATGTCTCTTTGTTTGACCCCCTGAGTTTAAGGAGGGCTGCCTGAAAGAGCGTGGGTTGGAGGCAGTTTGCTGGAGCATGGACAATGGCTATTCCACTGAAGAAAGGGATGCTCAAAGTGGTTCTTGCTAGCTCCTTACATCTCATGACAACAAGCACACTTGTTGGTACTGGTAGAAGCAAGTGTCTGTTCTGTCTTCCTTCTTCCCATTTCTTCTCCTACATCAGAATGGAGCCACTTGATGCTCACCCTTTGCTGTCTGGGATCTTTTATGAAAGATATACCAGTGTGTCATATGTGTTATGTCTTCAGCAGCAAGCATTTGTCACGGTTTAAACTGTATTTTCTCTGACAAGAAATCATGACCATGACTGTGCTTATAGTGCATGGCCACTAGTTTAGTCTTGAGTTAGATTCTTTGTCATCTGCAAGTTGACAAGGAGGGCTTTTATGTCCTGATGAAAATATTGGTGTTTACTCTTCATGTGGTCAGTTGTGGGATACTGTCTTTGTGGGACTACAGTCAACACCAGCTGACTCGCCGGGTTTGTACCTGAGAGGGGGAGTCTGGATTGAGAAAGGGTATATAAAGATGTTAAGAAAGAGACAGAGACACAGGATAGAGTCAGAAGGGCAATTCAGTCAACACTGAACATGCCAAGTTTGTTCTTCAACATTCTTAAGTACCCAACCAAAATGGGGGGGGGCATGGCAGAAGACTTCTATTATCATGTATAAGGAGCAAACAGACTTTCTTCCCTTAATCCTCCAGACATTAGGTAGCCACACCTGTTATCCAGGCTTCAGGGTCAAGATGAACACTCCTGGGACCAAGTCTGTTGTTATTTAGATAAGACATCCTATACCAAGGCAGAAACATCCTACAGTAGCCAAGCTTTAGGCCTTTAGGTCTTTTGACTTATTATGGACAGTTTTGAACTCTTTGAGACAAGCTGGAAAGCAGCCATCTTTATGGGCCCCGGCAGTCAGTCCCTTAGAACTCCACTCTTCTGGGATACTGTGTCCACCCTTAGTGCATCTGGATGCTGACTTCACTAGTTCTTGCAAATGATGACCCTTGGTCACTGGTGGCTCCACTCTGTATATATCCAGATACCACATGGTAACGACTGACTCTAACTTGGCCCTATTATTTCCATACCTATTTTAGTACTAAGCACCCATTTACTTAAAAGCACCCTAATGTACAGAATAATCCAGATCAGATGAAGAAATACATGTTGGCTAAGGTACAAGGAAAAGTGAAGGCAGTCTTTTTAGAAGCTGAGCCCACGGTCTTCAGCATAATGTGGCAACAAGACTGGATCTCTAAGTCTGAGTCCTAAAGGATCTCCGGTTCTTAGCACTGGCAAAACACCATTTGTACGTATCTACTCTTTAGCACGTCACCTCCACCAGCCTTCTAGAGATGTACACTGCACGTAAGTGGTTCACACTTGCGGAGATTGGTTTTTAATTTACCTAAAAAGTATTGGTCTTAAGTCAAAAGCAGTATATTACTGTTTCCCATGTTAGACCCATGCTGACAGACTCAGAAGTAACCCTTGGTGTCAGGACACTTAAATTACATTGTCCTGCCTCATCCTTGCTCACCTCTCCACCAATGTACATATCCTAACCACACCCACATTTGTACTCTGGTGTCAAGCTTTTCCCTGGGATTCACGTGTTCCTTTTTCTGTCCTCTGTACCCTCTCACCCTCTGTTTTCTTCAGTTTCCAGGGTTCAACTTTTGTCTTTGTGGCAGTGTTTGCTCTGTACTGTCCCCAACCCACACTCAGGCTAACTCTCCTAGGGACATGGGATTCATGTGTAAATGAGCAATAGTGTGTGACTCTCACAGGCAGGACTTCTTTTCAAAATGCTGATGCTTGTTTTACAATAGAAAAACATAATCAAAATTTAACACGCACAGTTGTTGTCATCTCTCCAACAGAAAGCCTCCAACAAAGGCATGTTACTCATTTTATTCACAGAGCTTAGTTTCCCAGGCTGTCTTAATCTATATCACAACAATGATTACATGGGCCAGAGAGTTTGACTTTCTCCAAATGATTTAAACACTAAAATTGTATTGTCTTCAGCTTGTTATAAGTTAGAATAGCCTTCTTTTAAATATTTTTATAAAGAGAATAGAATTTTTCTTGATGTATAAAGGTGGCTGGATTTATTTAAAACATTGAAGAAATTTTATGTTAACTATTTTGCAAAAGTTCAGTGCTAGTTTGTTATAAATGGCTATTTTATTAAGCATCTCTAAATGTCTTGGTCTATACCAGAATTTTTAAATGTTAATGTGTCATGTGTAGAGCAGAGTGAGTAATTTAAAGCTTGTCAAGAACTATCAATGAAATGTTTGAAGAAACACTTTTCTGTGAAAATGGAGCTTTCAATTTTCTTCTAACTTTATATAAATTAATAAAAATACATACACTGTGTCATTCTACATAACTTCCACTAGGAGGCAACAGAGACTATTCAATACATAAAACAAGCCCTGTATCTGAAAGTTCATTTGCAGAATTAGAGTTTAAAGATTTGGTTTTTAACCCATTTTTAGTATATACCCATTATTCTAAGTACAGTTCCCTAGACTTCACTAGTTAGGGACTTTGATTCCAAAACAGAATATGTTCTGTCTTAATACATTAAAATAAAATTATTTACTTTATAAGTAGATATGAAAATTCAGGTTTAGGCTTTTCCCATTTGCTTGAATTAGCTTTTATTTAGTTTTAACTTAAAATTCATAGAGGAACACAAATTCAGTTGTTCTCTCAGCCAAGATGTAATGTGTGAACATTGGCAAGATGTCGCTTTGGTTCTTTCCAAACTTACTTCATTCTGGTTGGAGTTTGGTGACACACCCTAAGGGACAGGTAGCACTGGGAGCCAGGCTCCCTCAGGAGCTTTGTCCCCATGGACCAGCAGCTCTGTGGCAGGTCACCAGCATCTTCCATCTTCTTGTCCTTGACTCTAAACATACTTCCCTCTCACACTCCTGGTCTTGGAGCACCTCCTAAGATCTCTATGGCCACTTCTTTTAACTGCCCTTCAAAAGTTACATATATTTCCCTTCACTCCTCACAGAGTACCATTTTTCCTGGAACCCACGGGCAATTGATTTTTACCTTTGTAGCCCCGCATCTCCGAGACTACTGTTTGCTTGCAGACGTCTTTTCCAAGTAGGACTAATTACTAAGTGTCTGGTCTCTAGTGCTGGGAATCATGAAGCAATCTTGTTTCACTACTGCTGATCTAGAGTAAAATGTCACTTTCACCCTTTCTGGTCTCTTCCAAATTTATATTCTCATGTATGTCTAAATAGTAGAGGACCTACTCCAATTTTTTTCAACTTGAAAAAAATCAACAAATTGTATGTACCTACATTCCTCTGGTCCTCTTCTTGATGCCTCCCATCCTTTCCTTGGAATTCTGAAAATTAGTTCAATTGTTTCTCAGCTTCTCTTTCTCCTCTTCACTTTCAATCTTGCTCATGGCGAAGTCTTTTTCTACAGCCATGGTCCTAGTTTCTAGCTGCCTTTCACTCCATTCTTTCTTTTTATTTCTGTCTCCTTACAGACACAGCTGAAAACCGTATCTGCCCTAGGATAAGAAGCAGTGTGTTTATTTCACCCCACCTTGCCCATTCATGATCCACAGGATCCATCATTAGCTTTTCATTGCTACCCCGTGACTGCCCTCCATATCATGTTTACAATTAATCACTCAATATTTCTTGTGCTCTTCCCATGGCCTCCTGCAGTGAGACCATCTTGCATCTTGCATCTCCCAGTCCCAGAGCCCCCTGCACGTCAGCTGCTATAGACACAAGCTCTATAACAGCACTGCAGCTCCTTCCCACTGTCTTGTATGTTGTTTGCTTTACTTAGAATTGTTGTGAGACAGTCTCACTCTATAGCCCAGGGTTGCCTGGAACTCAGTAGTTCTCCTGTCTCAGTCTCCCAAGAGCTATCTCATACCCCAGTTATATCCCTAAGTCTTAATTGTATTTGTCATTCTCTCTTATTCTAAACTTACTTTCATGTTTGCTTTGTAGTGGGAATATAAAAAGAGTTTTGAAGAAAACAAAGGATTGTATCACTTTGATGCGGAGGCCACTGAACATCTGCACCATAAAGGCAATGCCACCCTCCAGAGTCAGGTGACCTCTTTGACCTCTGCCCACCGCTCGCACCCACATGACCATTGGTTTGCCTGCTGCTCAGTGCTCTTGGAAGAATGGAGCCCAAGAACATTAATTTTGCTCCAGAAAAAAATTCAAGACTCTATTTTTTATCTTTTGGGTTAGGGAGCTGGAACTATGTTTCAACTTAAAGAAGTTTCATAAAAATAAGTTCTTCATATAATTAAAAAGTTTAAATCTAGGAACTAATTAAACTGCGATCAAATCTCATGATGATTTAAAATTTTGCAGGGTGCTGATTTGACATTTTTGAGCTACAAAATTAATTTTCTGGGTATAAGGTTTATTATAATTTCTCCATTTAATTATAAGTGTGATTGAAAAGGGAAAACATTCTTACTAATGTATTTTAAATTAATATTTCTTCTAACTATGAAACCCTATGTATTCTGTTAAAAAGAAAAAACCTTCGAACTTTCTTCTTAGCACATTGTAAGGTCAGTATCTGTTTTTTAATTCTTAGTTTAAGTCTAAATAGTTACTAAAGATGCCACTTCTAGCATCTGTTTAGATAAACATGTAGTCCCTGCAACATGAATTCCATACTGATTTGAAAATAAATTACTCTCCCTATTGGTTTCCCTTCCTGTTGCTGTGATAACATACCCCAACAAAAGCAATTCCAGAGAGAAAGGGTTTATTGAGTTCTCAGGTTAGAGCGTTTCACTGAAGGGGCGCCAAGGTGGTGGGAATTTGGAGCAGCTGGTTACACAGATGCATCCGTAGCAGAGAGCAGTGAATTAATGCACACATTCTTGCACTCGCCTCGTTTTCTCTTTCTCCACACTGTCTAGGGCAAAAATCTAAGGAATGATGCCACCTACTTTTAGGGTGTCTCTTCCCACTTCAGTGAACATAAATGAAACAGTTCCCAGCGGGCATGTCTACAGGCCAACCTGACCTAGGGATTTTCATTGAGATTCTCTCCTGGGGCATGGAGTTCTAGAGTGTCTCCAGTTGACACTTCAACATCCCCTCCCAAAAGCTTTGAAGTAGAGGTTTTGTCTTTAAATATGTTCTCATTCTCTCTCTGCCCCCCATTCCTGCCTTCTTCCTTCTCTCTCCTGCAAGATAGGACTGATTTGGGAATTACTATGTGACTTGACTAACCAACCTCTTACCTCTGCCTTCCCAGTGCTGAGTTTACCGCGCTGTACATCACTATGCCGACCTTAAATTCTTATTTATTTTTGAAATTTCCCCCACAAAACTTTATTCTAATATAGTATGATATATATGCAGCACTCTTGTTTATCAATTAAAATTTTCTTTAATAAAACTACATTACAAGTAGGAATTTCAAATTTTATTTTCCTGGTATTACAAAGTTCTAAGTACCAGAAATTTTCTTTGAGGTTGAGCTCACTGTTATTACCATTATGCAGCTTAAACAATTTCACAATCAATTATGAAGTGTTGGAAGACAATGCTGGCTGATCAAAGGTTGCAGCCTCCCCATGGTTTAACAGCTTATCTCAATAAGCTCGGCAAAATGGAGTTCCTTCCCTCCCTCAGTAGAACTTCCTGCCTCTACCTTTCCTTAACTGGATGTCCTGGGCCTGGAGGTCTGACATTATCTAAAAGCTGTCTCTGAAACCAGAGGCCTGACTCATCTTTAGATTCATCCTTGGCACAGATCCCTGTCCTAGGGGTTCTGATACAGGAGCCTCCTGCCACATACTAAGTCCTGTGATAGGAGTGTGCCACTTAATGCAAATTAGCATTTGTCCTCCGGCTCCTCAATTCTATATATTCCTTATACTCTGGAATAAAATTGAGCTGATTCATCAAAATCTGTGTCCTGGAGGGCTGCCTCTGTTCCTGCTCATGGGCTGCAAAAGCTTTCTGTGGCCCCATCTGTCTTTTATCTCTCTTGACCTGGTGACCAACAGTTGAGGGGGGAAGAGGATCCCTACAATGAAGCCCAAGAATGAATTAAAATACATTTCTGAATGAAGTGAGTCACGATCAAAGCTTTTCTATGAACTCAGTTAAAAATATCGCTAAAATTCAACCATGATGTTGGCTTATGTACAGTTTTAGCACTGTCTGTCTCTCTCTCTCTGTCTTTTTTTCCTCTGTCTCTATGTCTCTGTCTCTCTCTGTCTGTGTCTCTCTCTCTATATCCACCCCTCTCTCTCAGAAATAGAAGACACCAGGTTGGGGAAATTGCTCAGCAAGTAAGAGTCCTTGTTGAACAAGTATCGAGGACCTGAGGCCTTGGATCCCTAGACTCCATGTCAAAGGCTGGGGGTGGCTGCATGCTCCCATAGCTGTAAGATTGTAGGGTGGGGGCAATGGAAATGGAAGGATTGCTGGGGATTTCTGGCTGCCGGCCTGACTCCGCATCCAGATCTGTCTGTCTTAAGGTAGTAAGACAGAGGGTGATAGAGCAGGACACTCAGCATCCTCTTCTGGCCTCTGTGGCACATTAACAGGGACACAAACTTGCACACACATGTGTACACACCAGACATATACACCACAAACATAAACACATATACACAAAGAAAATAGAAAAACAAAACCTGAAATGACAGAAAATATCTTTTCTTTTATATAAATAGAATGGAGATAAAATTAATTTTAATTGAAACAAATAATTCATAAGATGATAGTAATAAATAATGGATAGTGAAATAAAAGGAAATCATGTATATTTTAGTTACTATCTATGGGAAAACTCAGGAGTTCCAGGGAACATTTTCCCTCTTTTGATAGAAAGATAATCATAGCCAGCTTCTAAACTTCTTCCTAATATTCTGATAGACATGGAAACTGTCCCTGAGATCTCACTCACTTTTTCCTCCTTCCTCCATTCTTTTCTGCCCCACATATGTATGGTGTGAGTATAGATACAAATAACCCCATGTATTTAATAAATATCTACATATCCTACCTATTTGACAAATATTTTATTTGTCCTCTACAGCACACTTCATTTACTGTCCTATAACACTAAATACCTAACTCTGGGGAGCCCATTTATCACCCTAAACTTCCAGAATAACAAAACCGGATGATTAATTAGGGGTGCATTTACTATGCTTTGCTCTGTATGTGAGCTTTTGGTTGTTATTATTGTCAGAAATTGAACCTCGCTAAGAATGTACTCTGCCACTGAACTATGTATGCTTCCAGTTTTTCTGTGCTTTTAATATTTTTTTCAATGCAGGTAAAATACAGAGAAGAATATGAGAAAAATAAGGGGAAGTCCATGCTTGAGTTTGTTGAGACTCCATCATATCAGTTTTCAAAGGAAGCTCAGAAGATGCAGAGTGAGGTAGGGGACTGGGCTTGTTGCCAAAAGTTCAACGGATACTTGGGAGTTTTCTCATTGGAAAAGAATCAGTCAGTGATGGCTGGGGTCTAGAGACAAGAGGACTTCACTGTGGGGCAGGCTTGGGGACCTGTGTTCTAGACCCAACATTGCTCTGCAGGGACTGCTCAAGGACTCCTGTTCTAGACCAAGCACAGCTCTGCAAGGCTGGCTCAAGGATTCCTGTTCTAGGCCCAACATGGCTCTCTAGGGCAGGCTCAAGATCCCTTGTTCTAGACTCAGCACAGCTCAGCAGGGCGGATCAAGGACCCCTGTTCTAGACCCAACATTGATTTGCAGGGCAGGCTCAAGGACTTCTGTTCTAGACACAGCACAGCTCTGCAAGGGAGGTTTAAGGGCCTTTGTTCTAGACCCAACACAGCTCGGCAAGAAGACTCAAATACTGCATACTAGACTCAGCACATTTCTGCAGGACTGACCTGTGTTCTAGATCTAGCCTCTCATTGCCAGAAGTCACTGAATTGGTCTGCTCCTTAGTTTTACTGATCAACAACTATAGCTTTTCCATGGGAAAGCACTGACACTTTTTCAGATTGGCTGTGATCAACACTTTCAAATTGTGTCGGTGTAAAACTGAGTATTTAAAGTGAATTGAAAAATGAAGAGCTGGTTGTTTTTATTTCCTTCCCCATACAATGGTAATAGAACCAGCATTTAAAAAATTGAATACTTATTTTGTACCTGCCCCCTTTCTAAGAGCGTCACCTACATCAGCTCATTTAACCCTTAAGGAAATGGCTTAAGGAGACTATGATCTATATCTATAATGCACTGAAATATACTATCTTAAATACATTCACATATCTAGTAAATGTCGCCAGTGTTTTAGGCCACAATCATGGTACTTCCTTCATCAATTTATTTAAGTGACACCCCCTCCCCCAATAAATACTTGAATGTGTTTTGTCTGTTTACTTTCTCCTAAGAGAAGATAACCCTGCCAGAAGCAGCTACTCCTCAGATTACATTTTCTCTGACCAGGTGATCCCTTCATTTTCTTTCCTTTTCCAGGCACAGTTTTGTCTACAGTCAGTATCTACTCTCTGTAGTTACCAATGGGCTATTGAGGGAAAGAAGCAGTGGTCAATAGTGTTACACAGTTGTGTTTTTGTTTGTCGTCTGCATTGTTGAGAAGCTATAATCCATCTTTCTTGGAAAAAAAGCCCCTCAGACAATCTGAGACTGGACACATTTGGTTAACTTCTTCGTAAGTCAAAGAGGAGAGAGGAATTATTTATCCCTTTCTGTCATATCTTCTTAAGTCTTTTGTTGAATTTGGTAAAGGACCATCAGTACCTGTGGTGACTAAGTGAGCTGTCTGTTTTAGGTGACTTGGCAGAGCTGATTAACTTGGTCCAAGTTTAGAAGACAACAAAAACTTACCTTAAAGAGGACAAATTATACTGGAATCTCATTTCTCCATTTAGACAGTAGTATAGAAAGCATTTCTGGATAGCCTTTATATTGCATGATCATCTGTTGTTGCAGCACCGCCTTTTATGTTAGCTAGCATTGAACTTTTAATGGCTCTCCCCATTTTATAGGAAGTACATGGCCACTGTTGCAGGTCCACAGTCCAGGGAGAGATTTAGACTTTCACTGTTCTCTGGAAGTTTAACAGCTTATGAAACTGTTAAGCCCATGTTCATTGAAGAATACAGAGAACAAAGATCTTTTGTTTTTATTTGTTTATTATTACTATTTTTAATGAAAGCAACATCTGGAGGGTGGCTTCCATCTCATCATTACTGAGATCTCACCGTTTCACTCGCAATCTCTCCGTAACTCCCTCACAGCATCTGCATGGCTTCCCCTTAACCTTCCCATGATCTGCCCACAGGTACTCTGTGGTCCCTCTCATCCTCCCTGCTGCCCCTCCTCCATGGACCCGCACAGACACCCCACAGCACTCTGACAGCCTCTTCATGCCTCCTAAGGTGGCCAGCTCCCTGCTACTCTCTCCTGGCATCCTCAGTCAGATACCTTTTATCAAGCTGTTTCTGTGATTATCTTAATTGTTTTGTACCCTGATATTTAACTTTCCTCTCACCAATAAACCTCCACCTACCTCACCATTCATGGCTAATATATTTCGAGGCCTTAGGAACAATAGTCATTTAGAGAGTTGGGATTTTAGTATCTCATGTCTCATGATCGTCCCTCTCAATTTCTTCACCTTATTTGCCCTTTCCCTCCTGCTAGTGAGACAGGTTGTGCCATTAATTATAGCTGCTGCTGATTAGATTCCTTTTTTTATTTCCCTTCAGATTTTCTCAGTCTTGCCTGTTCTCAGCAAGACTTGATGAGAGTCAAGGCTTCCATTAGGGGAATCTCTTTGGGCCAGATTGATATTCTCAAGGCTAGAAAAATAAACTCCCCCAAATTTTAGATAAAGGTGATGTACAGAAGTACCCTTGGATATATATAGAAAGAATAAAACACACCTGAAGAGAACCCCTGCCTTGGAGTTGGCTTTGAGCCATTAAAACTAGCCTGGACTGTATTCCTTGAGGCACCTGGTTGGAAAAGCCTGACTTCAAAGAAAGTCGTTTGTGTCTTTGCTCTAACTTTTTAAAAATCATGCTTGCCTCATTTCATCTGGTGCTAGATATAGGTTGAATCTGTGGTTTTTAGAAGGAATCTCTAAGTAAGTCCTTGGGAAGTTCTTTGTTTTTGTTTTCACAAACGTGTCTATGCATAGAGAGAAACACAGGATTTTGCTTCATTCTGGCTGAGCATTGAGCCACTCCAGGCACAGCCACACTGCAGTGATTTGTCTCTAGAAAAGTGCTTCTTGAAATGAGATAGCTGATATAAATAAGTGCACACACAGACTTCAATTTACTATATAAAGAATCCTTTATAAAGCACATTGGCCTAGAAATGTCAAATGTCAGCTTTTGAGTGTATAGCCATGCTATCCCAATTAGTTCTGCATGAAAAAGAACAATTTCTCATAATTTTTCATTTTTTGGTGTATTTATAGTTCTTTAAGTCAAAATGCTTTAAGTACAGCTTCTTGATCGACTTATTAGACTTTGTGTACTCCAGCCTTTTCTCACAGCCATGTTCCTTATTGGTTGAGTGACTATCTGTAACACAAATGCTAAGTGAGGAGGCAACTTGTTTCTCTTCACCTCCTTTCTGCTTTGGAGAATATGTTTATTTATACAATCACTTTTCTTTGTAATAAATGTGTAGTGAATCTAGAAATAGCTTCTCATTTTGGATGAATAACAATTTCAGGTACAACGTATTTATTTTATCACCTTTATGATATATTTGAATAAAATATTTGGTAAAACCTGGCTCATGTTTACTGAATATTTCAGATGAATAGATACTTCACTACTTGAAGTAAACCATAAAGCATGAGTTATTAGGGTTGGAGTAGTTGGTTAGTGGTTAAGAGTGCTTGTTGCTCTTGTGGAAGACTCAGGGTCAGTATCTGACACCCATATGGCATCTTACAATCAGCTAACTACAGTTCAGTGCTCTCTTCTGGCCTCTGTGGCACACATTGATACTTGCAGCTAAAACACCCATACACATAAAATAAAAATATATAAGTCTTTAAAAATAAAGCTTTGGGTTGTCATTGATTTTCAAGTGTGTAACTCAAATGCTAGAATTTATAGTCACAGCCAAGGATGCCACAGCAGGCCTGAAAGGCAAGGGTTATTATAGATATAGCTCCTCCTCAATAGGATCACTATAGGTATCTTCCATTCATTTCTCAAGTGATGAGTAAGTACTTAATCATGGACTATCCCCAGCTGTTGCTAGGAACTCTTCCTCAAAGAGGATACCATCACATTATAACCAGGTTATCCTCATGGTGTAACATTATCCATATGAGAATTCCATAAAGAAGGATAGTGAGGTCTGGAGCATTTATATTTCTGGAGAGTTTGAATTGGCTTCTATACCACCAGATTTCCTTCCAGGGAATGAGCCAAACTTCCTCTTGAGTGAAGTCATCAGATGATCCAGTCAGAGAGTCCATAGTATTCTTCCTGTAAAATGGAGCTGTTAGTCACATAAGATATTTAGCACCTTCCTCTGAGCATGAGAAGTTGCTTAGTGACTCTGTTCTTTTTGATAATTTAACATTATATTTGGGAGAGTTATGTTGCTGTGAGCCACATGGCAGCAAGTAAAGGAATAAAAATATGGGTTGATTTAAGATGTAGGAGCCAATTAGTTACAAGCTTAAGCTAGCAGCTGAGCATTTATAATTAATATTAAGTCTCTGTGTAGTTATTTGGGAGCTGTCTGGTGGGACAGAGCTGACTGGCAGTCTCAACAGGGACTCTTCACTTACATTGTGTAATTGCCAAAACTGAAATTACTGTTCTGTTGTTAAGAAGACTGCTTAATTTTGGTGTGTGAGGTTGCTTTTATTTATTTAAAATCTTTTTGTAATAGTTTATTAAAAATAATAAAGGTGGGATGGTAGAATTATATGAGAAAATACTAGTTTTGTTCTGAGAATGAATGCTTGTTCTCATAGTTTTCTTATACTTACTAGATATACCTACATTGAATATGATGTGGTCTTATTTGACAGAAAGTTTACAAAGAAGATTTTGAGAAGGAGATTAAAGGAAGGTCCTCACTGGATTTAGACAAGACTCCTGCATTTCTACATGTGAAGTACATCACCAACCTGATGAGGGAGGTATGACTTTGGATGGTTATATTAGATGTCACAAAAGGGGAAAACCGAGGAAGTGACTCCAGAAACATCTGCTTAGCAATTCTCTACTAATTGCATATTTGAGACCTGAATTCTTTATTCTGGCCTTCACTACTGGAGCTTGTATTTTATTAACATAGAAAAATACAAGTTAATATGTCTATTTATCGTTGAAGGAAGAAGTTATCCAGATTTTCTGGAAAAACTTGAAAATTATTCTGCTTTTGCATTGTGATTCTAGCTCAGGAGCTTTGTGGGTAGTGAGTCTTAGAGTTTCATAGCAGCTAGTTTTTACAAAAAAATAATAAATGAAAACTTGATTCTGTTACTCATATATCCATATGTATAATTATATATAATTTTATACTATATAAACTATATATTTATAGTATATATAATATGATAATATACATGGAATTACACATACACACACATATATGTACATATACATACTTTTTTATTTTGGGAATGGTGAATTATATATAGTATCTCACTACTACTGATTATGCAGTTGAGTTTTCCACTTTTGGGAAAATATCAGGGATAAACACATTTGGAGTGAAAAGGCTAAGCCTTATCCTTAGAAACACACTTTCATTTTCTTTTTTTTTTGTTTTTTTGAGATAGGGTTTCTCTGTGTAACAGCAGCCCTGGCTGTCCTGGAACTAACTTTTTAAATCATGCTGGCTTTGAACACAAGAACTCTGCCTGTCTCAGTCTTACTGAATGCTGGGCTTAAAGGAATGTGCCATTCTTGCCTGGCTGAGAAAACCAATTCTTTGAAAGCTTGATTCTCTTAAATTTAGCTATCATAAAACATATTCTACAATCAGCTTTAATTAAAATTTTAATCTTAATTTTTAATTATGTGTTCATGTGTGGATTTGTGTGCATGAGTGCAGTGTCTGCAGAGGCCAGAAGAGGTCATTGGGTCTTCTAGAACTGAAGGGTGACACACCCAAATTGGGAACCTAAGTCAGGTCCTCTGAAGAACAGTTCATGCTCTTAACTGCTGGGCCATCCCTCCAGCCTTTTGGGTAGCTTCCCTGTAGAATCATGACATTTGATATCAGAAATGAGGTACTCACTTGGGAAAGTCTGAATACATGATTTATTCACAAGTTCTTTCTTTGCTATGTAGGGAAAAATTAGAATTAGCACATGGAACAGAATAACTCAGTGCTATGTTTTGCTTTTATCTTCATAGAACTCTTCTTGAAATCCTAATTGAAATTTGGCTCAAAATTAAGACATTAAGTTTGTTGAATATTAAATGTCATAACTTTAATAAATCAAGACATACTTGTATATCAACACTTTAAAAAAATTAATCCATTTCCTCCAAGTGGCTCAAAGCTAACTTAGAGCTCTTCTAATTCTGTGATATGCTCATTTAATGATATATGCTAATATGATCTAGAATATAATGTAAGAAAAGTGAAATTGCATCTTATTCTAAATTTTTTAATCAAAGAAATGATTCCTTTGAAAGAAATGTCTTAAGCCAGTGGAAGGAATTGAAGCATGATTTCCAGTTGGAGGCATCTCATCACAAACTTTTAAAAAGGAAATGACAGCTGGCCTTTGCCATTTATGTGAATTTCCTAGAATAGCCATAAAACTTCTATAGGAATTCTCTTGTGCTGTTTTTTTTGTCACTTCTTAGTCCTGTAAATTTTCTTTGAAATGGAAAATAAATAAATGGGACTGTCCTGTTACTGTACCACGTCTTAAAACTATCATCCTCGTTGTGTTCCTGAAGTCGGATCTTCCAATCATTTGCTTACAGATGAGGGAGTGAGATTAGTTCCTTCCTTTTAATCTTTTCTTCTTTCTTAATGCGGAAAATAGTACCCTAGATCTTTTGAAGGAAGTATGCAGAACATAATGCTATGAGTTTCTGATAATTAAAACACAGCAAGATTCAGTTGATGACATTTTGGATTTAGGATTCTGAATGTCTGAACTGGGCCAGAAAAGGCCCACAAAACTATTCATTGGATGGGGGCAGTTTGGGGCTATTATAACAAAATGTTTTAGACTGAGTGGTTTCAAATCAGACAGTTTTCCTGCTTCTGAAAACCAAGGCCCAAGTCAAGGTGCTGGTGGATTTGGCTCCAGGTGAGAGCTCTGTTCTTGCTTGCCAATGACTGCTTTCTGACTCTGTCACCACAGCAGAGGAAGAAGCGGCCTCTGGTCTCTTTTTCTGTGGAGTCTGTAGTCTCATCTTGGGACCTACCCTCTAACCTCACCAAACCTAATTACCCCTTAAAGGTGCTAGGGCTTCAACACATGGATTTTAGAAGGGACACAGGTATTTCAATCATGATGGCTAATCTTTTACTTAGTTACATAGAGATGTCTAATAGAAAAAGCCACTTGGTTACTTAATAAAATTATAAATTTCCATATATAAGCCCTTAAATGTAAATGGATACTATTCTGGGTACTTTATGGTTTTATATTGCTATGTAGAGTCTCCAAAGTATCATTTGTTATGAGAAGCTTTTCCTTGCTAGCTGCTTTGGTATATCACCCGCCAGTCGCCTGGGCTCTGCCACATTGTAGTCCCCAAATAACACACAAGACACTGTATTAATTATGAAGCTGTTGGCCTTGCTTGTTTCTTACTGGCTAGCTCTGACTTAAGTATTTACCCCATAATTGTTAATCTATGTATTTCTCTTACCGGAGATGTTCCGGGCTTCCTACCCCATGGCAGTTACATCTCGAACTCTCTTGTGTTTCTCCTTCCCAGAATCCTCCTGGACTCCTAGTCCCACCTATCTAGATTCCTATTGGCCAGCAGTGCTTTATTAACAAATGTACAGGACTTCCCCCATCAATCATTTTATATTTTAAAATGTATGTTTTATGTAAGGCCTTTGGCTACTCCAAAATTTTACCTGATTTTCCTCCATTGCCCTTTGGCATTAATAGGACATTTATTTTATTTCTTTTTGTCAAGATACTAAGTTACTCACAGATCTCCTAAAGGTCACATGATCAAATGAGTAGAAAGGCTGTGACTTTCATCAAGGTCATTTGACTGAGAACTATTTCCAAAATCACAGGCAGGCTAGACAAAGTCCCCTAAAGCTATTGTTTGATCAGAAATCAAGGAAATATACTGATTTATGATGTGGGTGGGGCATGTGACATGACAGGAACACCAGAATTAACTGGGAACCTTATTTCTTATCATTAAAGGGACTTATAATTTTTATTGTCATAAGATGAAACTTGGTTTGATGGAATAAGATATTATTTTATAATGCAAGTAAATAAGGAAATTAGCAATTTGTCAGTAGCAAATAATTTATATACAAGAGTCTGTAAAAGCGTCTGCGTCTACTTAGTATATAGTATCAAAGGCTGGGGTGTAGCTCAGTTGGCAGAGAGCTTGCGTAGCACGCACAAAGCGCTGGATTCTCTCCCAGCACCACATTAAATGGATGTGGTAGTACATACCTATAATCCCAGCACTCAGAAGGTAGGGGGAGAAAGATCAGAACGTCAAGGTCATATTTGTCTATATAGAGATTTCTAGATCAACCTGGACTGTATGAGAAACTAAAAAATGAAAAAAATACATTAAAACAGACATTCAGAATCTATGTCAACAATTATCAAGAAGCTATTTGGTGTTTTTTTTTAACAGACGCGTGAATAAAATACACACTTAAAAATACCCCTGACTACAGCAACGTTTTGTTTTGTAATTTTTCCCCAGCAAATTCTTTTGGAAATTCACATTAAATAGGTATTTTCAAAATCACTCAAATAATAAGAAGCATTTTTGTTCTAAACACTTTCTCCAACACTTAAAGGGAAGATATCCATTTAAAGAAGTTCAATATGATGCCAAAAGATATTGGGAGAAAGGATGAAACCCTGTTAAAAGTGGATGCCACTTAAAGTTTGATAGAGGAGAAAATTAAATGTCAATGGGAAAAGGAAAGAATGGTCAGCATCTAATTTTTTTCCTTCCTAGCAATATTTTCTCCTGTCTGTGGTCTCTAGTAATTGCTGAGATATCTTCAAATGAAATATTCTCTTCTTGTCTTATAGAAGGAATATAAAAAAGATTTGGAAAATGAAATAAAAGGGAAAGGAATGGAACTTAGTTCAGAAGTCCTTGATATTCAGAGAGCAAAGCGAGCGTCTGAAATGTCTAGCGAGGTAAGCGGATATTGTTTTTCTTTTAGCATCTCAGAACGGGAACTTTTTTTTTCAGCTGCTTTCCCTATCGATAAAGCTTCCTCAAAGGTTCTATATGACACAATATTATTATATATAATAAACAGCCGTATCATAGCAAGGCTTTTCCCAGGAAGCAAATTAAAGATAATTCCATCCCAGCAATCTTTCTATATGTACTGGGGGTGGGGTGGGGTGGACAATGGTCATTAGAGAAATCTCTGTCATAGTCAAAATATTCCTGTGGTATTTGACCTGGTTCTTTAAAATCACACAGCGCGGCAGGTGTGGCCTCATGTCCTGGCAGCAGCTCAAACTGAGCGGCTTGTGCTGTTCTGTTCTTTAAGCAATACACGGTCTAATCTTCAGCTGGTTGCTAAATAGTTAAATCTCTGTATGGAGTGAAAGTAGTTGTTTCTCATATCATATGAACTTTATAAGAAGAAATGAGATGTTCAAGCAGTAGTTTCCATGTCCTATTTCTTATATTATCATTCCGTTGCTATCACATAGAGGCTTTCATGTGACTCTTTGTGGTTAAAAAGCTTCACACACACCTAGGAACCTTACTTCAGGCACCTGGCACACATGTGGCCTCTGGCACCTGGTTAGAGACCTGGCCTGTTCTTTGGCCCAACCAATCTGACCTAAGAACCTTGCTACAGGTGTCTGACCATATTGGCCTCCAACACTTGGTAAGAAACCCAGTCTCTCCTGCCTTAAGACTGTCTACTCTGATTCAATTCTCTAATAAAGAGACACAGACTAGCCCATTGGATTACAAAATAGTACCTTCCCTTTTGTTGTCTGTAAGAAATAAACCTCACCTTCTTGACAAGACATTGGATTTAGAGTGAAAGATGGAAAAAATAATCTAAGCAAATGAGACCAGGAAATGAATAGGCATAGGTATTCTGAATGAACAAAAATGATCTTAAACAAAAACTAATCTGGAGACAAAGAAGTCCAGTTCATTCCACTCCACCAAGAAGACATTATGATTCTAACACAAGTACACCAAAGTTGGTTGCACCCAGTTTCATAAATACTCCTAGGCATTAAATCACAAATTAACTCAACAATTTTACATGTAGTGACTTCAATATGTACTTTCACCAATGGACAAAATATAATCAGAGGAATAATGATACTAAATGACATCATAGCCAAATAAACCTGATGGATATTCACAGAACATTCTACCCAAACACTACAGAATACATTTTTTTTGGTCAGTATGCCATAGAAGTTTCTCTAAAACAGATAATATGTTAATACATAAAACAAATCTCAACAAATTTAGGAAAATTGAAGTAACTCCGTGCATTCAATGTGACTACAATTAAGAAAAGCTTGGTTAATAAATAATAAAAATAACAAAACATAAGTAACAAAAGAAACACCAGAAGGTATGCAAACTCATGGAGATCAAACTACTCAATTGTCAAGTGTTTGAACTTTTGAGGAAATTAAGGAAGAAATAGAAAAAGTCTTGGAATTAAATAAAAATGAAAACATAACTTACTAAAATCTCTAGGATAAAATGAAAACAAATATTAAAAGGAAATATATGACTCTGAGTGCTTACATTAAAAATGAGATGAACTTCAAATAGATAATTTAGTAATGTACTCAAGAGGTTTGGGAAAACAAGAACAAACCACCCTCCTTTGGTCATTTAAAATGTTTAGTTGCTTTTTAATCATTGACTACAAGTATATGTTGTCCACAGAGTGAATAAATTGTGTTTAATGTTGCTTTTATAGAAAGAATACAAGAAGGACCTGGAGTCAGAAATTAAAGGGAAGGGAATGCAAATTGACACTGATACCCTTGAAATACAACGTGCCAAAAAAGCTGCCAAGATAGCCAGTGAGGTGAGTGGAGAGGATCACACAGATCCCAAAACTATTTTTGTGCTCAAGAAATCTTATCAGCAACTGGATTGTGCATGGAATCTCTCAAATTTTGTGGGCCGGTCCAATTTAGAATGGAAATAATTTCAAATTATGATTTTTATTTGAAAATTCATAGTTTCCATTTCACTCATAGACTTTAAAAACATCAAAAGAAGCTTGGAAAGAGACATTTTAATAGAATACATACAGATACATGCATGCACAGACACACACACTAACACATGTTATTCTTGTGTCACAGCACATTTCATTAGTCTAGGGTATGATAAATACTTTTGTAGTACATTTTCTGTAGTATAGCTCATATTCTACTTGGTACATTTGTGTTTCCAATGTTTTGAGGAAAACACAGAAAACACATGTTGAGATGTTAATACATGAGTACAATCTTTGTTTCCATGTGACTGTATGTTTAGAAGACATCTGTTGTCACTTTCTATCTGCACTTGAGATTTCTGAAGTCAGCTTTTGGGTTAAGACATGGTATGTTTCAAATGACCATTCAGTGACACTTTCTCTTCATGCAGTACATATGAAGACATGGGTATAACAAAGTTGTAGGGATCAGAGCAAATGCACATTTTCTAGGGATAGACCTGGGATCATGTTTCAAGTTTCCCGAATTTCCCCAGTCATTCTGAGAGTATGGACAAGTCACCGGAGTTTGATAGAATTTAGGACAGTTTTCTAGAAGAAATAGAGAAAGCTGTGATGCATATTAAGGAAAGTGACTTGCTTATCTCAAAGTTTGATGGCAGGGGTTCACTAGGGCTACTCTGGGAGATACTGTGACTCTTACAGTGTAACTGGCCAGTTTTAGAACTTTATTGTAGAGACTTCCAGATCTGTATGTATAATATGTAGACAAGCATGATCTTGTATAAACAGAGACTTAAATAAACCTTAATGCAGTTATACTGCACAATTTCCTTTGTTTTATTTTCATTTACTGTTGCAGATTCTTTTTCATTATTTCATATAGTTAGCCTAACTTGTTAAGAAAAATTATGTGGTAGTTTCCTGCTCCACCCACGGAATTAGGACTAGACCGGCTGCTTGTGCTTGGGGTCTACCTCTGCATCTTCCTTCCCAGTGGCAGAAACCAAGGTACCATAGTCTCCTGCTCCACCCACGGGTCCAGGTAAAACAGGGTCCATTTTCGGACTGCCTGCTTGGACCTGGGCTCTGCCACTGAAGCTTCCATCCCGGTGGTGGTGACAGTAGGAGTCAAGGTACCATAGTTTCCTGCTCCACCCACGGAACTAGGAGTAGACAGGCTGCAGGTGCTTGGGGACTGCCACTGCAGCTTCCATCCCAGAGGCAGGAGCAGACTCACCCCAGCACCCTAGTCTCCTGCTCCACCCATGTGACTAAGACTATCAGGGCCTGTCTCCAGGCCACACTCCTGTGCCTGGGCTATACCATTGGGGCTCCCATCCATCCCAGTGGGATCCAAAGCAACCCAGCATCCTAGTCCATTTTTCCACCCACGAGACCAGGAAGTGGAGAGCTACTACAACAGTGAAGTTGCCTACACCCACCAGAAGGGAACCCTGGTCCCACACCCACCAGGAGAGGAAGAGGCACCCTCTGGAATCCACTGCAAGAACGGATGGGAAGGAGACAATAGAAAAACACAAGGAGCAATAGAAAAACCAATATGACATCGCCAGAGTCTAGAGACCCTACACCCACAAGACTGGAACACCCCAACACAAATGAACCAGAAGAGAATGACATAAAAAACAACTTCATGGAAATGATAGAGGCCCTTAAAGAGGATATGAGAAAATCCCTTAAAGAGATGGAAGAAAAAACAATCCAAAAAATTCAAGAAATAGAGCAAAAGACAAAGCAAAAATTGCAAGAAACAATTCAAACAGTGCAAGAGCTGAATCTGAAATAGAAACAATAAAAACCACAGTCTGAAGGAATGCTGGAAATAGAAAACTGGGAAAATGATCAGGAGCTACAGATGCAAGCATAATCAACAGAATACAAGAGATGGAAGAGAGAATCTCAGGTGTTGAAGATACACTAGGAGAATTAGATTCATAGACCAAAGAAAACTTTAAGTCCAAAAATCCCTAATACAAAATATCCAGGAAATATGGGACACAGTGAAAAGACCAAACCTAAGAATAACAGGTATAGAAGAAGGTGAAGAAACATACCTCAAAGGGCCACAAAACATATTCAACACAATAATACAAGAAAACTTTCCCAACCTAAAGAAAGACATGCCAATGAAAGTGCAAGAAGCTTACAGAACACCAAATAGAGTGGACCCCCCAAAAAACTCTCAACACATAACAATCAAGACCCCAAACATACAGAATAAAAGAAGAATATTAAGAGCAGATAGGGAAAAAGGCTAAGTTACATATAAAGGCAAACCTATCAGAATTACACCTGACTTCTCCATGGAAACTATGAAAGCCAGAAGGTCCTGGACACATATTCTACTAACATTAAGAGACCACGGATGCCAGTCAAGGCAGCTATACCCAGCAAAGCTTTAAATCAATGTAGATGGAGAAAACAAGATATTTCATCATAAAACCAGATTTAAACAATACATATCCACTAACGCAGCCCTACAGAAAATTCTGGAAGGAAAACTCCAACCCAAGGAAGTTAACTACAACCAGAAAAACATAGGCAATAGATAATCCCACTTTACGCACAGGCAAAAGAAAAAGTGGTGGAAATCCACATACAATTCCACCACCACCAACAACCATTATTAATTTCCCTCAATATTAATGGTCTTAACTCACCCACAGGTTAACAGAATGGATTCGAAGATAGAAACCATCCTTCTGCTGCATAATAGAAACACACCTCAGCTTCAAAGACAGCTGTTATTTCAGAGTTGAGGGTTGGGAAAAGACTTTCCAATCAAATGGACCCAAGAAACAAGCAGGGGTAGCAATACTAATATCTAACAAATTAGACTTTAAACTAAAATCAATCAAAAGAGGTGAAGGAGGCCACTTCTTACTCATCACAGGAGAAATCAACCAAGATGAAGTCTCAATTCTGAACATCTATGCCCCAAATACAAGGCCATCCACGTTTGTAAAAGAAACATTACTAAAACTCAAAGCAAATACAAAACCTGATACACTTGTAGTGGGAGACTTTAACACCCCACTCTCACCACTAGACAGGACCACAAGACAGAAACTTAACAAGGATACAGAAGACCTAATAGATGTTATGACCCAATTGGGTTTAACAGACATCTATAGAACACTCCATCCAAACACAAAAGAATATACCTTCTTCTCAGCTCCACATGGAACCTTCTCAAAAATCGACCACATAGGAGGCCAATGCTGGGATTGACATGTAAAACAAGCTATTTAAAATTAAAATAAAAAAATCGACCACATACTTGGCAACATAGCAAACCTCAAGAGGTAAAAAAATCGCAATAACTCCATGTATCTTATCAGACCATCATGCCTTAAAAGTTGGAATTCAACAATAACACAAATCGCAGAAACCCTGCAACCTCATGGAAATTAAATAATACACAATTGCACCAACCCTGGGTCAAGGAAGAAATAAAAAAAAGAAATTAAAGACTTCCTAGAATTCAATGAGAATGAAGACACAACATACCCAAACTTATGGGACACTTTGAAAACAGTGCTAAGAGGAAACTTCATAGCGTTAAGTGCCCATGTGAAGAAACTGGAGAATAGTCACACTAGAGAATTAACAGCACAACTGAAAGCTCTAGAACAAAAGGAAGCAGATGCCAAGAAATAATTAAATTGAGGGCCGAAATCAATAAAGTTGAAACTAGGAAAACCATATAAAGAATCATTGTAACAAAGAGTTGGTTCTTTGAGAAAATCAACAAGATAGACAAACCTTTATCCAAACTTACCAAATGGCAAAGTATGAACATGCAAATGAACAAAATCAGAAATGAAAAGGGAGACATAACAACAGACTCTGAGGAAATTCAGAGAATCATCTGGTCATATTTTGAAACGCTGTACTCTACAAAATTTGAAAATTTAAAGGAAATGGACAATTTTCTGGATAAATATCATTTACCAAAATTAAATCAAGTACAGATAAGCAATCTAAATAGTCCTATAACACCTAAGGAAATAGAAGCAGTCATCAATAGTCTCCCAACCAAAAAAAGCCCAGGGCCAGATGGCTTCAGTGCAGAATTTTACCAGAAATTCAAAGAACAGGTTATACCAATTCTCCTCAAAGTATTCCATGCAATAGAAGCAGAAGGGTCTTTGCCAAACACTTTTTATGAGGCTTCAATAACATTGATACCCAAGCCACACAAAGACACAACTAAGAAAGAGAACTTCAGACCAATATCTCTCATGAACATTGTTGCAAAAATACTCAATAAAATACTGGCAAATCAGATCCAAGAACACATCAGAAAGCTCATTCCAGGGATGCAGGGATGGTTCAATATACAAAAATCCATCAATGTAATCCACCATATAAACAAACTGAGAAACAAAAATCACATGATCATCTCACTAGATGTTGAAAAAGCCTTTGATAAAATCCAACACCCCTTCATGTTAAAGGTCTTGGAGAGATCCGGGATAACAGGAACATACCTAAACATCATAAAAGCTATATACAGTAAAACAACAGCCAACATCAAATTGAATGGAGAGAAACTTAAGGCAATTCCTCTAAGATCACGACCAAGACAAGGCTGTCCCCTCTCCCCATATCTCTTCAATATTGTACTGGAAGTTCTAGATAGAGCAATAAGACAACAAAAGGAGATCAAGCGGATACAAATTGGAAAGGAAGAAGTAAAACTTTCACTATTTGCAGATGATATGATAGTTTATATAAGTGACCCAAAAAAACTCTACCAGGGAACTCCCACAGCTGATAAACACCTTCAGCAAAGTGGCAGGATACAAGGTCAACTCAAGAAAACCAGTAGTCCT